AGGACAACATTTTGTTTGAAAAAAGTTATGATTTTCCCACTTTGTAGGATTTTTTCTGATTTTTTAAAGTATTTGTTTCTTTTTTTTCTTAAAAATTTAATTCCATATTTTGTGTTTTTTGTTGCTTTTTTTAAAATGCTTAAAATATGCAAGGCAGGGTTGCCAGATGGCGATTTCGAAATTTCCCCAGATCAAATTGTTTTTTCCCCGAAATGACAATTTCTCAAACAATAACTCCTATACAAAAACAATACATGTTATTTTAACGTCGATAAAATTTACACGCGAAGATTTCAGTTCAAGACCCTTTTGAAAAAAATATCGCGATTTTCGAGTGTAACTCCCAAACGCGAAGAGATACGAAAGTGCGGTTTGATTTTTTGGAATCAGCGTGCTCGAATTAGTTGGGAAAAATTATTTTTGCAACTTTTTTTTCTTGATTTTCAGAAAAAATTTCATGAGGGGGGACCTTTTGAAAAAAATATCTCGATTTTCGAGTGTAACTTCCAAACACGAAGAGATACGAAAGTGCGGTTTGATTTTTTGGAATCAGCGTGCTCGAATTAGTTAGGAAAAATTATTTTTGCAACTTTTTTTTTCTTGATTTTCGGAAAAAATTTCATAAGGGGGGACCCTTTTGAAAAAAATATCGCGATTTTCGAGTGTAACTTCCAAACGCGAAGAGATACGAAAGTGCGGTTTGATTTTTTGGAATCAGCGTGCTCGAATTAGTTGGGAAAAATTATTTTTACAACTTTTTTTTTCTTGATTTTCGGAAAAAATTTCATAAGGGGGGACCCTTTTGAAAAAAATATCGCGATTTTCGAGTGTAACTCCCAAACGCGAAGAGATACGAAAGTGCGGTTTGATTTTTTGGAATCAGCGTGCTCGAATTAGTTGGGAAAAATTATTTTTGCAACTTTTTTTTCTTGATTTTCAGAGAAAATTTCATAAGGGGGGACCCTTTTGAAAAAAATATCGCGATTTTCGAGTGTAACTCCCAAACGCGAAGAGATACGAAAGTGCGGTTTGATTTTTTGGAATCAGCGTGCTCGAATTAGTTAGGAAAAATTATTTATGCAACTTTTTTTTTCTTGGTTTTCAGAAAAAATTTCATGAGGGGGGACCTTTTGAAAAAAATATCTCGATTTTCAAGTGTAACTTCCAAACACGAAGAGATACGAAAGTGCGGTTTGATTTTTTGGAATCAGCGTGCTCGAATTAGTTGGGAAAAATTATTTTTGCAACTTTTTTTTTCTTGATTTTCGGAAAAAATTTCATAAGGGGGGACCCTTTTGAAAAAAATATCGCGATTTTCGAGTGTAACTCCCAAACGCGAAGAGATACGAAAGTGCGGTTTGATTTTTTGGAATCAGCGTGCTCGAATTAGTTGGGAAAAATTATTTTTGCAACTTTTTTTTCTTGATTTTCAGAGAAAATTTCATAAGGGGGGACCCTTTTGAAAAAAATATCGCGATTTTCGAGTGTAACTCCCAAACGCGAAGAGATACGAAAGTGCGGTTTGATTTTTTGGAATCAGCGTGCTCGAATTAGTTGGGAAAAATTATTTTTGCAACTTTTTTTTCTTGATTTTCAGAGAAAATTTCATAAGGGGGGACCCTTATGAAAAAAATATCGCGATTTTCGAGTGTAACTTCCAAACGCGAAGAGGTACGAAAGTGCGGTTTGATTTTTTGGAATCAGCGTGCTCGAATTAGTTGGGAAAAATTATTTTTGCAACTTTTTTTTTTTGATTTTCAGAAAAAATGTCATAAGGGGGGACCCTTATAAAAAAAATATCGCGATTTTCGAGTGTAACTTCCGAACGCGAAGAGATACGAAAGTGCGGTTTGATTTTTTGGAATCAGCGTGCTCGAATTAGTAAGGAAAAATTATTTTTGCAACTTTTTTTTTTTTTGATTTTTAGAAATCATGAGTCTCGGCCCAGCCGTCGAGTGAGTAAGTCGATGTAGCAGAGTCGGAGAGTAAACGTAAAACGATAAAACCATAACCAACAAATAAACCCTCATAGTGCAAACAACTATAGCGTAAAAAAATACAGTGAGTACAGACTAATCTACGGTCAATAATTAGTTAAGGGCCAAGTAAAAAGGAAGAGAGAAGTGACAAGTGCAAACGAACATAGTGAAACGGTCAAAAGAGTGTTAAGTGACAAGAATGAGTTAAATGACAAGTGTCAGTGCCTGAGCGGTCGCACCATCTGTCAACAGGACGATTTCCACTGGCCAAACAAAAGAGGCCATACAAGGGAGGAACAGGCCACCTGCAAATATTTGCTAAGTATCCTATGCATGACCTAACACATAATTTGCAAATTAAACTAAACAAGGCACATTGCCTAATCCCTACTAAAAAAAACAATAATCATCGGCAACAATAAAATAAAAAGTCAATTTTCCAAGAAAAAACCAAACAGCCGATCGCGGTCACACACCAAATTTGAACAGGGCAATAAAGCTGTCAACATAACAATTCAAGTAAAACAAACCGAGACCATTAAATTTGTCAATTAAGTCATAAACAACATAAACTAAGAAAACATAAACAAAGTAAAAAAAAAAAGCACACTAATCAAACTCCAAGGAATTTGTAAACACTTGACTTAATAGTAAAAGTAAAAAGAATACCCCCCACTGGGAACGGCCTTATCGCAGCGATTGCACATCAGCTGTTCAACACGGTGATAGGTTCGCTACGCGAAACTGAAACAACAGCAGACACTACACTGAGAGAAAAAATGTTGTAGAATCATTCAAAACGATAATAATTCCAAGTGATTCAAATATGTTTTGGCGTCATTGGTGTTTCTCATTAAATTAAAAGGTGTATAACAATTGTATAATAAATATATTTTTAAAATAACGTTGAGAAAGGCAATGAAATAAATAGATTTCTTTTTGTATATATTTTAAAGAGAGTACACTTTAAAAGTGTTAAAAAACATTGTAAAACTGTTGGTAAATGAATAAAACTACAATTTTTCTATTTGAATCAAATTTACCCGATTATTTGAACTAATATCGTTTCATGTGCTTTTCATGACATGATATTTCTCTGAGTGTAGACAAATAGACAAATATTAAACAACCACTTACGTAATAACCTAGGAACGTACATACCCTACATCGAGGACGCAATAAATGAACTAAGCAGTCGTTATGAACACATCAGTGACAAAACAGGACAAATTAATGCGTACCTAAACTACCACGGTAATTACGGCTTCTGGGCCGGACTGGAAACAATTCTAGCCGCCTCAGACGTAGACAACGCAATAACATACTACAAGCCACCCTTAAACTAGATCTAAAAGACAAAAAAGTCGGGAGACCATGCTTCACATTTCATGACACGTTAGCACAAAACATACACTTCTCACAAATCAACAAGAACAGTTGGGAGCAACTAAGCAACAATAAAAACAAAATAAAAAAAACAAACGACACACTTTACCAAGTTCAGGAACTATCCGACACGGATTATGACAATAATGAACAAGACGAAGACCTCGACTAGGAGACTACACCCTGCAGCGTAATAACAACCCCCCAACTCCAAATAGTAATCCCAAATGTTTGGAGTAATATTAATCGACTGGTCTAGGGGGATTCCGCGTCGTACTTAGTTTTAAGTCGGCGTAATTGTCCCCCAAAAACCAACACCCTCCCGTCCCTTCTCCATACCCCACTGAGCGTATAGCATAGGCCCGGCGAACCCGGGAACGGCTATTATAACTATTCGCCTCTTGCTCTCGAGCCCCAAATAGGGGACATTACGGAACGCAATGGACATTCGCACCCAGCAAACACGGGTGAAGCCGTGAAGTTGCTGGGGAAGAACAAAAATCGGCGTAAGTAAACATAGGCCTGTGCGGGGTTCGAGAGTCAAGAGGAAATGGGGCTGGTTATACGTCTCTTATACTCATACTCATACTCATTTAGAAATCATGAAAAAAATATCGCGATTTTCGAGTGTAACTTCCGAACGCGAAGAGATACGAAAGTGCGGTTTGATTTTTTGGAATCAGCGTGCTCGAATTAGTAAGGAAAAATTATTTTTGCAACTTTTTTTTTTGAATTTCAGAAAAAATGTCATAAGGGGGACCCTTATGAAAAAAATATCGCGATTTTCGAGTGTAACTTCCAAACGCGAAGAGATACGAAAGTGCGGTTTGATTTTTTGGAATCAGAGTGCTCGAATTAGCAAGGAAAAATTATTTGGGCAACTTTTTTTCCATGTTTTTCAGAAAAAATTTCACCTTGGTCCCCCCTTATAAAAAAATATCGCGATTTTCGAGTGTAACTTTCAAAACGAAAGTAAAAAAACATAAAATTGAAAGTTGCCCAATTAATTTTTTAACGTGTTTACTTTACTAGTTGGACCACGCTGATCTCAATCAGGTTATTAATCTATGATCTCAATCACTAGTTTTTCATAAAATAAGATGTACCTATTCAAACAATAACTCTTTTACAAAACAACATGTTATTTTACCGTCGATAAAATTTACACGCGAAGATTTCAGGTGTTTAAAGGATCCAAGAAAACAAATTTAAGTTGATATAAGAAAATTACAAAACTCAAACTACACTTTAAATAAAAAAGAAAAACAACTTACCGGAAAATGGTGCTTCTGTTTCCCAAGCAGCCTTGCATTTTTAGACATGATTGGTTTTTACACTAATGTTTATCTTAGAAAAACCATGGTTTTTCTATGCACAGAGTTACGTCACAATACCGTCTGCCGGCGACTGGCTTTTTGACTACTATAACCTTGGTCCATACTAAAAACACAATATATTCATAAAATAACCAATTGACAACTGACAAAAAACAAACAATTTTGACGGACGCACAAATAAACTTGAATTTAGCGCCACCAGTATGGCCAACAAATAAGCGCGAAACACCCCACGAAATGTCAACATAAAAATAAAAAAACAATAAGCCGAATTTTTTCGTAAACAATTATATTGTTTATCTGACGATTTGCTGGTATTGTTATGACAAGCGAGATAAATTTCAGGACAAGTCCGACTGTGTTGTCTATGGAGAATGTTATCAACGTTGCCGATTGTTGTCGGGCCTGTTTGAGAAATGACTGCCCATTAACCCCAACTAATGCCCAAGATAGTGATTCGATTAAGTTTTGCGATAAGTTGTTTGCTTGTGTACAGGAAATAGTAAGTTTAAAAAGTCTATAAAATCATAAGTTTTATATTTATTTATTATTTTAAGATTTGGCAGAAGGATAATATTTCCACCTTACTATGTACAAATTGCATCGACCGCCTTAGAATATCCTATGACTTTCGGATAGTGTGTCTCAACTCAGATCAAACTCTACAAAGGTTTTTAGCGAATCCACACGAAGACAAAAGAATATTAACAACCCCCACAAAGTTTGATTTTACCATACCAACTACCACACATGAAACAATAAATGGGATAATAGAAGACCCCCAAAACACTGAGTACATACATTTAAAACATTTTCTTGATAATGAAGAAGAATTAAACAAACCAGATGAACTTGGTGATGTTAACTCGAGAAGTACAACTCCAGAAAACACGACCACAGGTAAGAAAAACAACAGAATTTTAGTACATCATTTTTGGGTATTTTTTTTTAAGAGTATCTTGCAACAAGCAACCAGCAAATTCAACACATACAAACCGAACAAATTCATCACCATGTCGAAATTCAAACTCAGCAAATTCAGAATGCTCCAGTTCTTATAGAAACTCTTAAATCCACCAATGTTATACTGCAGAGCGACGTTAAAAATTATGTGGGGCAGAATGTACAAATCAGTCAGATCGATAATCAAATTGCCCATCAACTTCAGCCAATACAGATTCAGGTGCAAGAAACAGTACAGCAACCTGCTCCCACTGTTGTGGTGCCCAGGCAGGTTATAAAAAGAACAACAGGTAAGTCAAATATTTGGTTTTTGAGAAAAAAAAATTACGCAAATCAGTTAATAATTTTTTTTAACCTGTTCTTCTAAATTCTTCTAAACATGAGTTTAAAATTATTTAAAAAAACAGTTTGTAATGTTAAAAAATACCGTAAAACATTTTTAAGTTAAATACAGTAAGTTTTATACATAAAAGATCTATATATATTTTCTATAATAAATCAATTTATTTAAAATAGTAAATATTGATATGGTCAAAATATGTGATTGTTAAAAAAAAACAATATGCTAAAATTATGAATTTTAAGTTAATCTTCCTTTTTTACACACTATTTTTATTAACTGGCATACAAAGAGTAATTTTCGTATTTCATTTATTTTAAGTTTGTATTGCTTGACCTAATAAATCCCACTTTTTAAATAATAGGGAGTTTTTAAGCCGTTTATTTTACGTGCCGTTATTAGCGTTTTCGTTATTGTGAGCCTGCGCTGTGCAGGGTTCCCTAAAAAAAGGTTTTTCAGATGAATATACGTTTTAAGCCTTCAAAAATAACGTCTCGGTTAACCGTTACTTTACTTTGAACTTAAATCTAACCTCATGTGAATTAGGTAATAATAATGGATATTTTACAACATATTTTACGGTCCGTTCCTACCCAACTTTTGTCTTTCTTTTTGCATTTTAGAAATATGGAAGTATAACAAACATAAAACCTATAAAAATATTGCTTTTCAATATATATCCTTTAATTTATTTAATTAAAACTTAAATATAATCACACAAAAATTAATCTCGGCAACCTTGTATGACACTTTATCCGTTATTAGGCGAAGTTTGACAGAATTTTAAAATTATTATTTATTATAAATTTAAATAGGTAAATAATTTTAAATATTCTCATAATTTTTTTGTTTTTTTTTAATATTTTATTTATTTGATTTGTTATAATTTTGTAATATATTTTTTTCCTTACAATTTATAATAATATATACAAATTTTTTATTTAAATCATTTTAAGATAATAAGTATTTGTCGTAGAAAAAGTATGGTATGCACCTCGTTTATAAACTTTTCTATACACTCATTAATTTAAGCACTCGCTCGCAAGCTCGCTCGTGCCTAAATTAAATTCGTGTATAAAATGGCGTTTATCAAACTTGATACATAATATACTATTATTTATATTTTAGTTTAGTTTTACCTAAAATATGTTTTTGCTTTTTTAATAAATTGCAATTGCAATTTATACATTTAAAAAATAAATGAAAATATGTTTTTAAAATTTGATTTTTGTGCTAATCTTTATTTTATATTTTGACTAAATTGGAAATATAATATTTATGGTATTTTATGTTTTTTGTTCTATTTATTTACAGTTACAACTTAATCTTTTTACTTTACTTTTTTTTAATTTTAACCTTTTTTATTTTGAAATTTTAACGTTTTATCTAATTTAAGAGTTTAAAATTATTATTTAGTTTTTTTAATTGTCATTTTTGATATTTTATATGATTGAATTTATGATACAAATATTTGTATCATGATTGAATTGTTATAACTTGTTAATAAATTGCAATAATTTTGATGTTTTGTAAAACTTTTTAATTTAATTTTATTCATTTACTTTTTGTTAAATTTTCACGGTATTTTTTAAATAATTTGGTATTTCTTATTTTTATTATTTTTTGTATTTCATAAATGAAAGTTTATTCAAATAATTTTTTTAAATAAACTATAACAAGAACTTCTTCCTGACTCAAGGCATTCAGTGTAGACCGCTGACGCCCGATCCTGTCGCGCCCCAAACGAAGCAGTTTAAGTGCAACGTGTGCGGCAAAGACTATCGCAAGAACGCCAACCTGCGAATCCACATGCGAACGCATACCGGCGAAAAGCCGTTCGAGTGCAAGTACTGCGAGAAACGCTTCTACCACTCCTCGCATCTCAGGGAACACATACGCAGGCACACCGGCGAAAAGCCCTTCATGTGCGCCGTGTGCAACAAGAGATTCACTATTAAAGGTAAACGTACTGTTTTATTTTATCAAATGGATATGGGCCTATCCATCTCAAATCGACCAGGCAAAAAATATTTTTGTCGAATTTTTAATACAAAAACTCTCACATAACATTTAAATGTAAGTTTAAATTTTGAAGTGGTAATTTTTGGATTAAAAATTTCAATGACTCTTTACAAATTCGAACGAAAAAAATGTAAACGTAGCTTTAGCATACTGCGTACACTCTTTGTATAGAGTGGTCAATTTTAAGGTAAAGCAGCGTTTACACTTTGTGAATTAAACATTATCGACTTACATTTAAATGAATCTTCACAGATTTAAAGCAATTTTTCAAAACTAATATTTTAAAATTAAACTTTTACATTTGCATTGTATATTTAAAATATTTTTTGATTATCAATTGTTTTGAGATTAAACAAATTTTGGTAGAAAATGTCCTAAATGTATTTTAATTTTAAATGTCTTGACACTATTTTTAAATACTAAAAAATTTACCTTTACCAATTTAATCTAAATAATTTTATAAAAAAATTATTTAAGATTTAGAAAATTCTGCCCAAATAAATTATATTAAAGAAATTATTTTGATTACAAAATGATACCTAGTTGGAAATTTTTGCAAAAATTGATTGGAATGTGTTTAATACAGAAGTGAATAGTAAGTTTTGTCTTTCAATACATTATAGATAAAAATATTTTAAATTTATAAATTTAAACCTAAAATTTTTAGTTAGGGAAATTTTAAATTAAATTTTTTTTTAATAAATGTTAAAATGGCGTGCCATAGAATTAATTCATTTTTTTTAAATTGTTTTTTCTAAAAAAGTAAAAAAAAGTGTGTCAAAATTTTGACATTTTAAATAAATTGTCCTTAATTTAAATGCAGATATTATTTTTTCGATAGTATTATCGATATATTGCGATGGTTGTTAAGGGCCATCACTATGTTTTTTTAGCAAAATCGGGCAGTGCATGTTTTAAAAATGCAGTGCTAGATTTTAAGTGGCATTGCTTGATTTTAAATCGCATTGCCAGATTTTAAGTAGCAGTGCCAGATTTTATGTAGCAGTTCTAGATTTTAAGTCACATGCCTTTTTCTTGTCACGCTACTGAATTAGTGTTGCTTGGTATAATAAATATGTATATGACAACTTTCTTTTTCCAATAAAATAATTTAAATTTACATTTACAATAATTATTTATACAACATTTACAATTGTTATTAGCCCAGCACAATACTTGTGCTGGAGTGTATAATTTATATTATTATAGCCCGTGTTCAAATATTTTTTGCAAAAGCTAATTTTATAGATTTGTTTAACGAAATAAAATATTTATTTTTATAATTTTTGCAAAAACCGTTTTAAATTTAAATGGTTCGGGTTCGATCTCTAGAGTTACATGTAAAAATCTGATACTGCTACTTAAAATTTAACACTGCCACTTAAAATGTAGCACTGCATTTTAAAAACATGCACTGTCTGATTTTGATAAAAAAAAACATAGTAAAACGTAGTAAGCACCATCGCAATATATCGATATTTTCTGCTTAGGTTGTATCGAACTATCGAAATTAAAATGTATCTAACAAGGAGTGTTCTTGTTTGAAGGCGAGCTCACGATGCACATGAAAAGTCACACGGGCGAAAAACCGTACGCGTGCACTTGCTGCGAACGGCGTTGCCTGACCGCTGCCGATCTCAAGGTGCACATGCGCACGCACACGGGCGAGAAACCGTTCGGGTGCGACACGTGCGGCAAGAAGTTCGCCAGCACCTACATCCTGAACTCGCACATCAAAACGCACACCGGCGAACGGCCGTACTCGTGCACGGTGTGCGAGAAAACCTTCACGCAGTCGTCGCACCTCAACGTGCACATGCGCAAACACACCGGAGAAAAGGTTCGTGCCAACAAGTTTTTTCAAATATTAGAAATATTCCCCAACACCAAAAAAAAAACTCAAAGTGCTTAAAGCACTTTAAAAAAAAATTATCTCATTCTAATTAAAATTATCGCACACGCAAAAAAACAAACAAAAAGATTATTTTTCAGTTTTTATTTAAGTAGGGTAAAGTAGACAATTATTGGACACTTATAAGTAGTTAGCTTAAAGTCAAATCATTAGATGACGCTCTATACAATTATAAATTTATCAGTCGTAATAATATAGAACTACTTTATTTTGGGTACAACTTAGGACAAAAAAGTTCGCACGATACTTTGGTGTTTTTTTGTTAAGAGCAGAAAAGTGTACAGATCAGTGTGTGGTATAAATGTGTTCATGGTTTAAACATTGTCACTTTAATGCGTTTTAATTTTAATTATGAACAACAAACAGTAAAATGACCAGTGTCCAATTAATGGTAGGTAAAAAATGAAAATTTCTATTATTGGACATAATATGTCCAATGTCATACTCTATTTGTATCCCGGACATTTACCAGCCAATTCTTATGTAAAATTGTCCCCTGAATCCAAAAAGACCGTCAAAAACTGGAAAAGTTACGCAGTTTTTGAGATATAGTCAATTCCATATTATATGTAAAATTGGTTATATTTTAAAAACTGTTCTACTTTTATAACTTTTGACGACATTTTCGGATTCAGCGAATAATATTTCATATGAATTGACTGCTAAATGTCCTGAATACAAATTGCTGTCGACGAGATTTATTAGTGCATGCGTTTTCGCTATGACATTTTTGACTAATTCATTTTTAGAGGGTAAGTTATTTAGTGATTTCTTCGTCACAGGACATCTTGCAGAATAACAGTGATTTAAATACAGTGCATGATAGAGAACATAAAAACTAATGGCAACAAAATTAATAAATTCGGAAAATACTTTTAACATACCACCCGAAAAAATGTTAGATATATATAAATCATCCTGTTCCAGCCTAAACATTATAAATGCTTCACAAACTAGATATACCCAACTTAATGATATTTGCAACAAACTTTTTCAGAAGTCAGACCAAGGGATGAGGAATCCGAGAAAGAAATATATGAATTATATAATATTTACAAAAACGAAATAAAAAAAAATGACCTAAAACAGCAATTTATCTTTAAAAAATATTTAACAATTTATATTATTTGATGTAAAGTTGTTATGTTTATATACAAATTGTATGTCCAATAACTATAATAATAATAATAATAATAATGGGTCTTTATTTTTCAATTAGTACATACAAGATATTTATAATTAAACAAAAAAAAAACAAAAATTAATAAATCCTAAATGTACATATCTAAAAGAAAAAATGCCGAAGATCAGTATCGAGTACAAAAGTAACTAAAAAAAAATCGTTTTTGAGTTATACCAGAATGATCACCAAAATCGACTTTATAATCTCACAAACTGGCGTAGCTCTATAATAAATAGGTACAAATAAAGTTTTAGCATAAATCAGTTTCGGCGTAACTAATATTTTTGCATTTTGTGTGCCGTACAAACTGGCGTAATTCAATTCACACCGTTTTGTTTAAAAATGAGATACGCCTCTTTGTCAGATAAACGACGATGTGTTCAATTACTATATAAAATATCCAACTACTATACTTTTTTGCATGTTTTTATACAACTATTATTACAAATTCAAATACTCTTATTTTTAAGTAAACGTAAATAAAGTTTAAACAAAGAAACTATCCTTTTTATATGTTCATAAGAAAAAAAACTAAAATCTTTAAAACAACGGCATATATAAATTTTAAATAAATAATTATTTGGACATTTATTTATTGGACACTTAAGGAATATTATAATATTCCTTAAGTGTCCAATAACTATGTGGTTTACCATATAACAAAATCTACATCTTCCGGTCATTTTCTACATTAGTTATATTATTATGTTCTCACTAGGGCTGGGCGATTATCGAAATTCATAATCGATTGATTATCTAAAATAATCGATTATTTGATTAATCTATTATTAGATTAATTGATTACTGATTAATTGATTAAATTATTATTGTTGCCAAGATCGTTGGCGAAAACTACTTTAAGCACTTTGTGTTTTGTTTTGGTGTTGGGGAATATTTCTAACATGTTTAACATGTCACCAAAGTTAACCTTTTTCGAGCAAATATGTTCGTGGAATCAGACTTGTGGTTTTAGGTGAGCTGTAAGCAGTGCGACGCGAAGTTCACGCACTCCTCGCAGCTGACGGTGCACATGCGCGAGCACACCGGCAAGCAGCCCTACAAGTGCACCATGTGCGACAAGGTGTGCAACTACGCGTCCGAGCTGCAAACGCATCTCATGAAACACACGGGCGAAAAGTTTACGTGCGTCACTTGCGACAAGAAGTTCACCACCGCCGCGTATCTGCAGGAACACACTAGGACGCATACCGGAGAGAACTTGTCCACTTGTACCATATGCGATAGGTAAGCAACGTCTCTTAGATTAGTTTCAATGATACACTTAGTTTCAAAAGTCTTGCACCACTTTTTTATTAATCTAGAAGTTAGCGCATTTAATGGTAACAAGCTATCCTCTTTCCATTAGGTAATTGACTGTTTTTATAACAAAAAAGTTTGTTGATACTTACCTAATTAGAAGATAGGGGGCAAAAAGAAAAAGTGCAATTTTTTTTTATTTACAGGTAAATATATTTGTACAAATCATCTAAGAACTTTTAACACTTTTAACCTGCTCTGTAACAATCCATGAACAAGTTTGGGCATGCCTAAGGTTTTAAAATTTCCGGAAATATTGAGTCGGCGAAAAAAAACGGGAAAATTTGGAACTTTTCAAATAAATGTTATTGCTAAGTTGAGCTCTAGGCATTTTTAAGAGGATTTTCAACACTATTGAATGTTAAGCGACACGTACAAAAATGCATATTTTGTTTAATATTGCAAAACGGATTTACTTCTTCGGTTTTTACGGTGATTTTTTTGAGTTCCATGACAAAAACATTCACAATTCAATATTTTTTTTGATATTCGAGTTTCAGTACATTTAAAGGCACTAAAAAACCTTGTAAAATGAGCTTTCAACTGAACAAAACTTTTCAACAGAAAGAAGCCCAAATTTCATACAGAAAAAAAAATTATGAACACAAATAAATTTACAGCGTTGGTTACGTTACACGTACACGTATACGAAAATGCTTCAAGGTTATAATAAGATATAATTATTCAAAGAAATAATACAACATACTGTAAAAAACGTAATCCTATTTTAAATTAATAGGTTTTATTACAAACAAACATTTGTTTATCAATCTACCAAGCGAGTTAACACTTTAACATTTCCTACACTCGGCCACGAACAAAAACGTGCCGTATAGAGTCGAGGCGGTGGGCGTGGTTTAAGCACGCTTAATTTTTTTCTCTGACGCAATCACTGTCGCGCATTCTTTCATCTTTTATTTGCAAGGCGAAAATGGGGGCGTATCAGAGTAGGACAGTAATCGAATAAAATTGTAATCATGAATATAAATAGTAATTATTTAGGTGATTAATGAATATTTATGGAGTCATTATTCATGAATACTTTACTTGAATAATATTTTTTTTTAGAAGAGCTTTATTTCTGACCCTTAAACAGTTTACAGAAAGAAAATTCATTATTTATAATCAAATTTTACGTTGTAATCATGAATAACGTTATTTATGAAAGTATGATTATAATTAATATTCATAATCAGAATTAAAGAATAAATTATGTAATTATAATCATTCTGTATAATTACTTTGGTAAATAATCCTTCCTTAACGAATTTAAAGTGAAAACAATGTAACTAAGAAAATTCATTCACTCGTTGTTATATAATTTCGCCGGGATTAATCATATACAATGACTACAATTATTAATCATTATTCTATTCCGATAATTGACGATTTCTGGCGTTAAAATCATCATAATTTTGCAAAGAATTATTATGCTGCGAATTATTTTGCGAGTTCTTTGCAAAGAACCATGTTGTAATTGCTGTTACTGTTCCTGCTAAAACCATTGCTCCAACAGTAATTAGATTTTGATTTTTATTGCGATTGTCATCATTTCTCATATTTATATCATGTTTTTACTGCTGATTAAATATAATATTTTGACATTTATTAAAATGAGAGATTAATTACCTATGGATTATTCGTAATCGGTAATTAAACTTTTTTTTAATATTCCAGGCAATTTACTCGACACCAGTACCTGGAGAAGCACATGCGCACTCACACCGGCGAGAAGCCGTACGTGTGTTTCATATGCGGGAAAAAGTTCACGCAATCGTCGAGCCTCACGGTTCACATACGCATACACACCGGGGAAAAACCTTACGCGTGCACGCTGTGCGACAGAAAGTTCACCACCTCTTCGGATCTCTCGATGCACAGCAAGAAACATAAAAAGTACATCGATCTTTGAGAGGATCAAATCGCACATGTGGATTTTAGGTAAGAGTTTTCCAAGTATGTACTAGGTATCTAGTCATGTCATCAATTGTGTCCCTAATTTAAAGTTGAGCCGTTCATTTGAACATTAACAAATGTGTATACTAAGGAGCAAATAGCTGCTAAAAGTTTGGTGCTAAAATGAAAATATTTTATATTTATTGATTTTGGGAGACTGCTATTTGCTGCCTATACTTTGATGTGTTCCATTTGAATTTAGAAAACTGCTTGATTAAAAAATTGAAGTAAGGATTTTTTAAAACTATATTGCCTAAATTCAAATGGCATATTTTCCTATTAACAGGTGAACTAACCTACATCTAAACCCTATTATATATTATATATAAGACTGCTTTAAAATATCTAATTGCCCCTTTAAAAATAATTAAACACGATCTCGTTTATTCTTAAAAGTCCCAAATAAAAAATGCTTGCTATAGAACCAATAAGAATAAAAATAATTTATTGTATGTACTCATTTATTGTAGGTATGTAATTTGTAATAAAGATTAATTTATTTCATTGAAAATCGTCCAAATTTTTATGTATTTTAAATAAATAAGATTAAAGTGATTGCATTATTTTTTCCTTTACGATCCAACACAAAAATTAAATATTGGTATTTTTATGAAAAATTACCTTTCTATCCATAAAAATATTGGAGTCTTGAGCCAGACCTTTAATTTTGGGAATTTGTAAAATAGTTTTCACAAAAATGCATTTTAGAACTAGAAAAGTGATTTTTTTATTGGGATATTTGTATGTAATACACCAAAAAAGTATTATTATGGCTTTAATTTTCTACAGTCTTAAGTAAATGCCGTGACAAAAGATAACCTTCAAAAACACACGCTGCTTTTTGTAACGCGCAAAATAACAATTATTATTATTACTTAATTTTATCGCTGAGAAGTATCATAAAATTATTTTTCTACTCCCACCTTTAAAACGCCCTTTATCGTACATGTTTCCATTACACTAAGTGACCTTTTAAATACACATTGACTAGTTGTGGTTTTACGGCGCTTTAGTCACGGGCTGAAGTAAGCAACAGGTTTTTAGTCACGGGCTGAAGTTAGTTGACAGTTGTCAAATGTCATACAATCGTTAAAATAAAGTGCCTTTCTTGTAAAATAATACTAAATGTGAAAATTATTTTATTATCTCAATACAAAATTACAAAAACATTAAATAGTTTCTCAACGCCAATATTTGAAAAGTTTATATGAACATTGTACTGACCTTTTAATTTCGCCGGCAGTAAACTATAACTTAAATTCGGGCACGGACTCTACTGTAAAGTCCTCATAAAACATTTCCTTAACTTTCACAGTGAAAAACTGTCAATTTTCAAGATACATTTCGATTTATAACCTTTATAATTGTGTTTATAAAATGTAAAAATGTGACATTTGACAGTTCCCCTGTTGTTTCATAGATGGCGCTCTATACAAATTTTTGATTTAAATCATTTTAAGATAATAATAAGTATTTGTCGTAGAAAAAGTATAGTATGCACCTCGTTTATAAACTTTTCTATACACTCATTAACTTAAGCACTCGCTCGCAAGCTCGCTCGTGCCTAAATTCAATTCGTGTATAAAATGGCGTTTATCAAACTTGATACATAATACACTATTTTATAGGAACAATACATCTTTAAAAATTTTCATAAAACATTTTGTTTTCTTTCTGTTGGCCCGTTAGTAACCATGGAATCGCCCAATAGTTTTAATATACACTATTGGACAAAAGTAAAGCAACAACTGTATAAAAAATCTAACCCCAAAACGCCTTTATTAATCTTTAAGAAATTTTGGATAAAAATACTTGAACTTAAATCTCAGTTTACGTGTTTGAGGGTTTTTTAAAAAATATTTTTAAAGCCCATTTTTTTAATATTAAAAAAACCTTCGAAAAATAATTTTTACGGAAATTTTTTTTCAAGTAAATAAAAAATATACTGTTAAATACCGTATTTTTGTTAGTATACCCTGAAAATTTTGTACAAATCAAATGAACAGTAACGAAGATACAGCGATTCAAAGTCGTCAAAAATGACCACTTTTCAGCAAAATAATCAAAAAAGGGTCATTTTTACCGACTTTGAAGCGCTGTATCTTCGTTACTGTTCATTTGATTTGTACAAAATATTTAGAGTATACTAACAAAAATACGGTCATTAACAGAATATTTTTTATTTACTTGAAAAAAAATTTCCGTAAAAGTTATTTTTCGAACGTTTTTTTAATATTAAAAAAATGGGCTTTAAAAATATTTTCTCAAAAAACCCTTAGACACGTAAACTGAGATTTAAGTTCAAGTATTTTTATCCAAAATTTCTTAAAGAATAATAAAGGCGTTTTGGAGTTGGATTTTTTATACAGTTGTTGCTTTACTTTTGTCCAATAGTGTAAGTAAAAATGTTTTTTATCGCGAGAAGCGTTTTTAACGCGATTTTATTTATAAAATCACTTTTGTGGTTCAAAAATGCATATTTGTGAGCAGAGCTTGGAGTACCTTGAAAAAAAGATACTTAAAAGTAACTTAGTTACTCAAAAGTATCTTAAATACTTTCATATAGTATCTTAGATACTTTTTAAAGTATCTTCTAACTAAATATACTTTTAACTCAAAGTATCTAGTTACAAGAGGTACCAATTCTGAAGAACTGTTTTGCTAGCTATAGTGTAAAATAAATAAATAAATAAATAAATAAATAAATAAGTTATTTTGTTTAAAGTGTCTTAGAAAAATATCTAGATACTTTTCAGAAGTAACTTTCTGTTTGTGAGTAAATAAATAAATTGTAGGTACCTACTAAATATTTTTGTTATTTAAATAAAATGAGGTTCATTTTGTCATAATGGGGTAGTTAAATTTTTTCTGACCTATACTTTTTATGGTTTTATTCAAGACGTTTTGTAATTTTAAACATTTCTGTGAAATCGGAATTTCAATTGAGTTTACCGTTTTCGAGATATTTACAAAAAAAAATCTCCTAATTACGTCACTAGGCTATTGACAACGTTGCCAGCTTTTTCTATGGTTGCCAGTGTGTTTAGTTTAAGATTCTTACGATAGATGGCGCCACGTTATAATATTTTAGTTTTAAAACAACTTGATCTACAATTTTAGTTGAGAAGAAGAAGAATTGATTTTTTGACGTTTCTTTTTTTCGGGTTATGTTTTTTTTAAATTTAGATTATTGAAAATCAATGTTATTGTTATGTTATTTGTAATTGATATTAGATAAGTGATTTATTAATAACGGACTCCAAAGCAGAAGAATCTTGTGGAATGGTTGGTTACATTGAACATTGGAGCTTTTAAACAAATAAAGTACCTAAGTACCTATAATTATAATCATATTTTGTCGTAAATGCATTTCATTAGTATAATGCTTAGTTCTTTATATTCTTTTATATATATCTTAAAATGTACTCTAGAGCATAGTATCTTCGAACAGTCCAAAAGTTTGTCATACATTTTTTTAATCTTACAAAAGGTTTTGATGCTCATCATCAGGGATGCAAGTTTTATAAAAACTATACACAAATATCATAAATACCATTGTTAACTTACATTTACTGTTATTTTTTATAAATTTATTTCATTTATTTTTAGCTTTATTTTGCCACTTTTTTCTATGTAATATATTAAACTCTGCTTTAGACAGTTATTTATTACATTTTATTAGGTTTCACACGGTGTTTCAATGTGTAAACCTATCAATAAAACTTTTAATTTCAGAATTTTCTTTAACCTCCTCTCCTTCTTCTTTCACTCAACTGACAGTGACAGTATTTGTACATAACCTCTTCGGGTATTTTCTGACATAACCGAATGAAATCATTAACAAGACAACTTGACAACAGGGTAATTTTCAACCAATAGAAATCTTGGAATGTTGGTCACATGGCGAGGTTTGTGACGTCATAAAAATTTATATTTTTTGTAAATATCTCGAAAACGGTAAACTCAATTGAAATTCTGATTTCACAGAAATGTTTAATATTACAAAACGCCTTGAATAAAACCATAAAAAGTATAGGTCAGAAAAAATTTAACTACCCCATTAACAAATTTTGTATAAATATAAAATTTATTTTAGTAAAAAATACAATTATTTTGTGTACATCATATTTACAGTAAATTGCGGGCACTTAATAATAAACAAACTTAATAAATAGGTAACTAAAAAGATTTTCGGTAAAATTTGATAAATCATGCATAAAAACCCGTTTACATTCCATTGTAAGCCGGCCCGCCGCCGCCTTCCGGCACAACCCAGTTGATATTCTGCGTCGGGTCCTTGATGTCGCACGTCTTGCAGTGGATGCAATTTTGCGCGTTAATCTGCAACTTCTGGCCGTCGCCGCTCTCCACCGGCACGTACTCGTAGACGCCGGCGGGGCAGAACCTGCCCTCGGGGCCGTCGTACAGGGCCAAGTTGGTCTTGACGGGCGCCGCGTCGTCCATCAGGGTCAAGTGGGCCGGTTGGTCGCCTTCGTGATTCGTGCCCGTCAACGCCACGGACGTCAGCAGGTCGAAGCTGATTTTTCCGTCGGGTTTCGGGTACTCTATCGGTTTGCACTCCTTGGCTGGTTTCAGTCTTTTGTGGTCCGGATCTGAAAATAAGCAGAGTTGCAAATAATGCATTAAGGTTTTAATACACAAAGTCGATAATTGAATTAAAATAATTGAAAAATTGCAATTGAATTACTTTTTGTAATTGATTTTTAAATTACTGAAAAAAAGTAATTGTAAACGATAATTGATTTCAACAATTCTTAGGTAATTTAACAATAGTACAGGGCTCCCACGGTTAAATTACAAATTTTATTTAGGAATTTAGGAGGTTTTTTGGAGAATTTTAGGAGAAAAAATTATGCAAATGAATTTATTCAATTAAATAAAAACAACTATTCTTAAAAAATAAGAAAAAAATAAGTAATTCTTTTTAACAAAAATATAAATAAATTTCACTTCTTTTGTACAAATAGGTTATATTGACTAGTTTTTTAGCCAAATCGCTCGACGAGTTTTTTTTTAATAAAATGAAAAGTGAGGTAAAATTACTACTTTTGTATATACATATCTACAAGTAGAAATTTCACCACACTTTTAATTTTATTTAAGAAAAAAGCGTCGATAGATATGGCTAAAAAAGTAGGCCAAGGTTTAATGATATCATATTTATATTTTGAAAAAAAAAATTAACAGTTTAGTTAATAACTAACAATAATTGTAATGTTATTGTTACAACATAGATTGTTTACTATTTTAGCTATCATTTAAAAAAAAAATCCTTTTGTTTAATACACCGGGTATATTTTTGTCAAAAATTAACGAAATATGGCTAAAAATGACAATTTTGTAAAAGTCTAGAAGCTACTACATGGATTTTGTTTTATGGTATATTTTGTTGTTTTTTAAGAAAAATGTAGGTTGTGATACCTATATCATTTTAAAAAGAATTTAATAAACTAGAACCTAAAAACATACATTTTTTAAATTACTTTTTAAAAAAGAAATTTTATAGCAAAACTACCTTAATTAAACGCAGTCAAGTTGGCCTACTTATATTTAATTTTTAGGAGTTTTAGGAGATTGATGGCAATTTTAGGAGAATTTTAAAGTTTTTAAGATTTAAGATTAAATATCCTTAAAGCCCTTTTAATTAATAAAAAAAACGCTCGAAGGAATTTTTTTGAATTAAATAAAAAATATGCTGTGTATATGTAAATATCCGTATTTTTGATAGTATACCCTGAAAATGTTGTACAAATCAAACGAACAGTATCGAAAATACAGCGCTTCAAAATTGTCAAAATTACCACTTTTCAGCAAAATCAAAAAGGGGTCATTTTTACCGACTTTGAAGTGCTGTATCTTCGTTACTGTTCGTTTCATTTGTACAAAATTTTCAGGGTATACTAACAAAAATACGGTCTTTAACAGCATATTTTTTATTTACCTAAAAAAAATATTTTTCGAACGTTTTTTTTTATTACCTAAATAAAAGGGCTTTAAAAATATTTTCTCGAAAAACCCTCGAACACGTACAGTGTACACGTACGTCGTACACAGAGATATAAGTTGAAGTATTTTTATACAAAATTTCATAAAGATTGGTAAAGGCGTTAATTTTGATGCGCAATATACTTAAAATTAATTGAAATTATTTATTTTTAATTCAATTAGGCAATAATTTTGCTTGTTGTCCAAAATAATTTTTAAAAGGTCTTGAATCTAGAAAAGTATTTTTGCAAGGGCTTTAAAAATATTTTATGAGTGCTTATGGTCAATTTAGTTTTAGATCTTTTAAGTGTTTTTCTAGATTTTAGAAACTTTTTTAAAAACTGGTTTGAATCATTGATTAAAATAAAAAAAATCACTTGATTTGAATCGTGATTTAAATCTGGCGAACCCTACTTTTTTAAAAATTTTAAGAAATAAAAATTTCAATTCAGACCATATTAAAGAAATTAGCAGAAAAAATAACAAAAAAAGCGATTGATTTGAAAATTTGATATCTTTTGAACAAGTAATAAAAAATTTCACCACAAAGGGATTTTTAATGGGTACCTACTTAAAAATATCGAAAAATAAGAAACCGAAAATCAACATTTTCAAACTGTCAGACTTGGTGTCAAATGTCCCATTTAAAAAATCACCCTATTAAACCTTTTTAATGAGTAATGTATTGTTAACATTATTTGTTAATGTTTTATGAAAATATTTCTCATTACAATTTTTTTTTAATGAATAATGTATTTAAACAACATTACTATTAAAAAACATGACGATTGAATTACATCAACATTTTTGCAACTCTGAAAATAAGACAGATTTTAAAATTTGGAACTCACCTCCATGCTTGAGAGTCCACGGTTCCCGTCCGCCAAGCACAATGGAGAACCCACTGTAAGCCAGACCCCCATAGAGACCCATAGGGTTATGGAAACTCGGCCGTACATTCCTCACAGCCTTCAACTCCTTCCAAATCCAGCTGTTCTTGATTTTCTCCTCGTATATCCTGGGCTCGAAGCCTTGCGTCTCCTGACTCTCCCCGTTGATAGTCTCGTAGACGCTCTCGGCGGCCAGCATGCCGCTCTTCATGGCGTTGTGCGTGCCCTTGATCTTCGGCACATTCAGGAAGCCGGCAGTGTCGCCGACCAAACAGCCGCCGGGGAACGTCAGCTGGGGGATGCTCTGGAAACCGCCCTCGACGAGCGCCCTGGCGCCGTACGCCACCCTCTTGCCGTTCTCGAAGTAGCGCTTCACCGACGGGTGGTGCTTGAACCTCTGGAACTCCTTGAAGGGGCTCAGGTAGGGGTTCGAGTAGTCCAGCCCGACGACGAAGCCCACCGCCACGGTGGGCGCGGGCTGGTCCAAGTGGTACAGGAAAGATCCCCCGTACGTGTGGATGTCCAACGGCCAGCCGAAAGTGTGCTCCACCCTACCGGGTACGTGCACTGCAGGATCAACCTCCCACAACTCCTTAACACCCAAACCGTAAGTCTGGCTTTCGGCGTTCTTCCTCAAGTTGAACTTGTTGATGATTTGTTTGGCCAAGTGCCCGTGACATCCTTCGGAAAATATCGTGCATTTCGCGTGCAGCTCCATCCCTCTTTCGAAAGTTTCCTTGGGACTGCCGTCTTTGGCAACTCCCACGTCGTTGGTCGCCACACCTTTGACGCTACCGTCCGGGTGATAGAGCACCTCGGAGGCGGCGTATCCGGGGTAAATTTCAACGCCCAGGGCTTCGGCTTGCTCACCCAACCAACGCACCACGTGGCCAAGTCTCACGATGTAGTTGCCGTGGTTGTACATGGGCGTACCTAAGAAATGGGGTAGTTAAATTTTTTCTGACCTATACTTTTAATGGTTTTATTCAAGGCGTTTTGTAATATTAAACATTTCTGTGAAATCAGAATTTCAATTGAGTTTACCGTTTTCGAGATATTTACAAAAAATATAAATTTTGTATGACGTCACAAACCTCGCCATGTGACCAACATTCTAAGATTTCTATTGGTTGAAAATTACCCTGTTGTCAAGTTGTCTTGTTAATGATTTCATTCGGTTATGTCAGAAAATACCCGAAGAGGTTATGTACAAATACTGTCACTGTCAGTTGAGTGAAAGATGGTCACCAAATTCATTAAGTACCTATCTTCCTTATTACAAGGTATCATATTACTGTTTGATATTTTAGAGTCCAAGATATATCTAAAAGAATATAAAGAACTAGGCATTATACTAATGAAATGCATTTACGACAAAATATGATTATAATTATAGGTACTTACTTTATTTGTTTAAAAGCTCCAATGTTCAATGTAACCAACCATTCCACAAGATTCCTCTGCTTTGGAGTCCGTTATTAATAAATCACTTATCTATTATCAATTACTTATAACATAACAATAACATTGATTTTCAATAATCTAAATTTAAAAAAAACATAACCCGAAAAAAAGAAACGTCAAAAAATCAATTCTTCTTCTCAACTAAAATTATAGATCAAGTGGTTTTAAAACTAAAATATTATAACGTGGCGCCATCTATCGTAAGAATCTTAAACTAAACACACTGGCAACCATAGAAAAAGCTGGCAACGTTGTCAATAGCCTAGTGACGTAATTAGGAGATATTTTTTTGTAAATATCTCGAAAACGGTAAACTCAATTGAAATTCCGATTTCACAGAAATGTTTAAAATTACAAAACGCCTTGAATAAAACCATAAAAAGTATAGGTCAGAAAAAATTTAACTACCCCATTGTTGCACTACAAAGGCAGTAAAATACTTGTTTACTAACCTGGAAACACTGGGATGTTAAACCTTCCAGTCTCAGTCAGCCATCCGAACTTATCCTCCTTTACCGGCGTCACCAAATTTTTGTCGACCATCTCCTTCCATTCCGGTATCAGTTCGTTGAGGGCAGTGGGTTGGATTACGGCTCCCGATAGGATGTGACCCCCGATTTCGGAGGCTTTCTCAACCAGACAAACCCTGAGTTCTTTACCCTCCTTTTCAGCTAGTTGTTTGGCTCTTATGGCAGCCGAAAGACCGGCTGGTCCTCCGCCTATTATGAGGATGTCTGTTTCGTCGGTGAATCGTTCCATATTCACCTCTAAAAATTTATTTATTATGTTTTAATTGTTTACATGTTCTTTATAAAAATATTTCATTTTCAGGTTTACACAGATTGATTGATACTATGACAAAATCTTAAAAATTAAGGTTCATATCAAAGCTCAATATCGTAACATATATACGCTTAATTATTTTAGTATAAACATAATTTTGGATTAATTCGTAATTCTTGAAACATCTGTTAACACCGTGACGTCACGATCTCACTTCAAGGTCATCGAATCGTTTTTGAATCTTGTAGGTTTCAAAATGCTGTAGAGTTCTCAAAAATCGGGAAAAGCAGGAAAAAAATTTGTTATAACAATAACCATCTCGTATGCCTAGGTTTTAAACTCGGTTTTAAATATGCAATAAAAAAGTTACATATCACAACCCCATTGCGCATGCGTAGAATCTAAGCGTACAGGAATATTTGAGGCTAATTAATTATTAAATGTTGCATGGACCTTTATTTTGAGAAGTTCAACTTAATTTTCAAATTAACTCACGAAATGATTTCCTTCTCACGTCATGAGCTCATGTGATAAACAAATGAGCAAAACTCATGAGAAATCACGTGACTATTAATTAATTAATTTTCATAATAAATGAACTTTGTAAATAATAAATAATGCGGTAATGCAAATGTAAAAAAACTAAATATAAATTAATAAAAATGACCATTTTTTTCACATCTTTTTATTTTGTTTCTTTTTAATAGTCTAATTTTTAAATGAATTTTATCATTTTTAGTATTTCCTTTTTAAATTATTTTCTATGAAATAATAATAAATAGGTAACAACATATTATTTTTATTTAAAAATACTTTATTTACTTTAAAGTTTAATATTTTTACAGTGGTACTTGTGATCACCTTAAATTTTATCACACAACTATACACAAACCATGTATTTAATATTTTATCTTATTGTGTAAATTAAGTAGCTATTTAAAAATATAAAACAAAAAAGGATTATTTTTATAATTTTAATTACGTTTGCAATAGTAATTAAAAAATATATTATGCAAACAACAAAGAAAAATCCTTACCTTTCCATCTTGGATCGTTTTCTCTGGGACACACTGTGTAATGGGTGGTTATTTTTGGAAATTGTTCCGAGTAACATCTTGTAAATATTTTTAAATGTCTGCCTAAATATAAAAATAACAATTAGAAATTGTGCAATGGAAAATATTTTTTAAATTTATGCAGTAAGATAGATATAAATAAACAAAAATATTGTGAACTTTGGGATTGTGAGTCCAAAGGTCAACAAACAAATTAATTTAATTTCAGCAATAAAGTTAGAAAATTAGAGTTAATGTAACATTTTAAATATATTTTTTTATAAAAAAAACACGCTGATATTATTTTATTTAATTATAAAATTTTTAAAAATTAAAAAACAAATGGTTTCTAAAAAAATTAGGTTACTAGATTACTTAAATATAGTAAAGTAACTAAAAACAATGGAATTTATTTACTTACCGAGTTTAAAATTATTAACCAAATTTATTGCCATAGTAACTGATATTTTAATTTTTTAAATTAGGTGACACATTTACAAAACCTCAAAACAAAGTGTAAACAGCTGACAGGAATCCCTAACACAGATTATAAACTAAACTTATCCATATAACAAATATCCCTAGAATTTATGTTGGCAGTACTCGTATACGGGGGTTATACAGAATTTTATTTTTGATATATACGAGGGTCATAAATAATAATTGACCAAAATTTTATTTTTTTAGTGTATTTATAGGGAATTTTTCAATTTTTTTAGGAAATGTTTAAATTTTTTGGGAATTTCTGGGAAATTTTTTGGGAATTTCTGGGAAATTTTTATCCAAGAAATTTTTGGATTGTAAGTAGTTTTAATTTAAAAATCGCCAAGAGATAAAATTTTTAGAATAATGTAGCAAAATAGCTTAAATTTAAAGGGCATTTTATTTTTTCCAGAAATCATCTTAATTGTAGTTCGCGATTATTATAAAAAAAAACTAGTCGGAAAATTATTTTTATTTTTTGATTATAATGATGGATAATGTTATAAAATAAAATCTTTTAAATAAATTTATAATAGTTTATTAAATTAACAATTAATCTTGACAAATAAACATATAGATTAACAAGAAAATAAAATATATACATATATAAATATAGACATAATAAAATGAAATATTTAAATAAACAAAATATATTAATTGATTATAAGGTAAATATACATAAAATATCACAAACACTTGTGTCTATAATACAATAAAATAGGCAATTTAAACAAACTTAACCTAAACAAAAGTTATTTACAAAATCTATTAATACTTATGGTAACTATAGTTATTATAATTAATCAGGCCTTTTTAACCATTAAAATAATTATTACCGTTTGTTATTTTTGTCTATTTTGGGTTTTTCAAAAATATCGTAAAAAAGTAGGTTGTCGTAATTTGACAGATAAGATGGTTAATATAACCTTAAAGTGTAACCCAAAACAATTGAATGGTGTGCCCAAGATTGCCTATATATTTTATGGGGTTCCCCTAACCGAAAGCAATAAAACATTTAAAATGGTGGCATAATCCAGTCACGTTAATTGCCATGCCATAAAATTTTGGTACTATATTTTTATATTTAAAATAGACATGTATTCATGCATTATAAACTACAACATTTTTAAATTACATGACACTGGTTGTCAATAATATTTTGCTGGATTTTTGTTGTCTAAATTAGTAAAAAATAAACTTATAGACCACATCACATAAAATACACATTTTTGCACTTTGCAAATCTTTTTTGTGCAGATATTGGTGACATCACAAATAATATCTTAAGAACAGTAAATGCATTCCAAAGGTTTTAAATTACAAAATATACAAGGTGTGCCTGAAATGCCTGTACAAAATAGTACTACATATTCCTGGCAATAGTTTTGGAAAAACCAAACTTTTTCAGGACGGGAAAATTATATTTCTTAAAAAATTAATGAAGGTTATAGAGGGCGCTGTCTACGTAAATTTAGTTACATCGCATTATTTTGGTTTTAGGAGTATGTGGAATCATTTTGTACAGGCATTTCAGGACACCTTTTATAAAATGAACTAAAAAAAAATATGGAGAATAGTAATATCCATATTTTTAATTTTGGCTACTTAAAATGCATTACAAAAATACTAACCTTACTTACTTTGCAGTAAAATAAATGGTTCCCTAAGATATGTTGAATTGTGCAAACGATTCAAATGATAATTTAGGAAAAACAATGGAATGTATTTCAAAGAAACTGTGTAAATGCGAAACCCTGTTAAAAACCATCAGTTCATAGTAATTTTTGTATAATTTGGCACGATTATTTTGCTAAATTATCATACAAACCGTGTAATAGTTACCTAACTTACCTCAACTATGTTCACTCTTCCAAATTGACGGTGTTTTTTTCTTCGAAAAAAATATGCGGCAGTCTAAACATCTATCACAGAATGTATGTACAAGTTAAAAACAAAAATTAAATTTCAAAATAAAACAATACTTGCGGCTACATAACAGTGAGTTCATAACTAAGAGGACATTTTATTATTATTGATTTTTAACAGTGGAATGTCCCCTTGAAATAATAAGTGCAACCACTAACAAAAACAATAAACTGCCCAACAATAATAACCTCTTCAGATCAAGTATCCAGAAATAACTTTCGATCTGAAATAGAGAGCCTTTCAAGTGGAATTCTTCCTTTCCGGCTTTTTTTTGTCGATCAGGCTCTGCGTCTCGTCGAGACTTTGCCTGTGCGCCAGCAAACCTGAAGCGCGCAGATCCGGATTCGACAGGTTCGCATTGAACGCCTTTCGGATGTTGGCGCGCAGCGAGGTCGACAATTTTGACATGTACTGCGCAGGTCAAGGCAGCACCTCGACGTAATTTTCCGGCACCAATCCGGACTTGCCGTTCAGCGTGCCCTCCAGCCAGCCCGGCTCCGGAGACGATTTCACTGAAATTGGTTTTGTTTATTGTAAACGTTTGCAATTTCACGGTGCTGTTCTGAGAGGTGATTTTTGGACTTTCTGTGAAACCTAATTTTTTTTATATTCTTGTTAATTAGGTCATAACTAAAATTTTAAGAGCAAAATAAAAAAAAATTGACGGTTTGAATTGTTTTAATTGGCTGTTTATTAAAAATATTATGCACTCTTTCAATTATCCAATTAAAACTAGCGATTTAATTTAAATATTTAATATTTGCATAACTAAAAAAAGGTTTTTACAATTTTTTTATATATTTTACTGGTTTGTTGCAATAAACGTTCAAACTTTTAATCTAACCTTTGACGTATACATTTATGTTCCCTTAATTAATATATTCTTAAAGGTTGCCATGAAACTTAGATCTATTAAAAATTTATTTGATGTTTGAATTGTCATTTCCAGTATACGTATTCTATAATTTTTGTTAAGTTTTTTAAAGTGTTTTTTATAAACAAAAATGAAAAATTGTAGTAAAAGTTACGAAGAAATTCATGAAATTTAACTAAGGACTGGTTTATTCATCTTTAGTAAAGTTTATCGGGCCGATAACTTTCATGTCTTGGCAATATCTAGTATCCAAAGAAATTATTCGTCAAATAAATCAAAAATGAATAAATCGACCCTAAATAAAATGTGGCACCCTTAGAATTATTGTTTAATAAATGTATACTATACATTTAACCTTAAATTAAAACTTTAAACGTGTATTACAACAAAACAGTAAAAGATATAAAAAATGTATAGACCTTTTTTTAGGAAATTAACTAATCTTTAATTTGATTTAAAAAGTTATGATAATATTTAAATAAAATCGCAAGTTTTAATTGGAGAATTGAAAGTGTGCATACATATTTTTAATAAACATCCAATTAAAACAAAATTAACCGTCAATTTTTTTTTTTATTTTGCTCTTAAAATTTTATTTATGACCTAATTAACAAGAATATAAAAAAAAATTAGGTTTCACAGAAAGTCCAAAAATCACCTCTCACAGCACCGTGATTTAAGGAGAGGCGATTTACCGTTTGTTATGATTTGGTTCGGTTCAAAACTCAGTTCTCCATCATTTTCCCCCAGACATGCGTATAAGGTTCTAACTCGCCTGAAAAGAATTTATGATACTTTCCATTTTTTTTATTTGCCATTTTGACACACTGATCCACAAGATTTTTGGGTGCAAGTTTAAACGGTTTTTTATTTTTTTTGTTTTTAAGCTTATACTAAAAATATAGCATTGTGAAGTTTTTCGAAATACCTACATTTTTTTCCTAGAGTTTTAAAAAATTTCCACAAGGGAGCTTTTAAAACTTATTACGTCTAAGTACACTCAAACATCTTGTGGACTTTTTAAATTGACCAATTCCAAAATGACAATATTTAGTTATGATATATTAGTTATTATTGTTATTGTTATATTACAATTTATTATTTTTGGTAACTTACTTGGTTTTAAAAGGTGACGACAAAAGCTGATGTCCTCCCCTTAAAGCATGTGTTAAAAAAATATGGTTTGACTCCCTGTGTTAGTAATAAGATAGAGTTGGATTAAATTGGTTAATATGTGCTCTACTCTAGTGTTTCTACGCTAATTAAGTTAAATGAGGCTAAGGCATTGAAAACAAAAAAAAATAATTTGTCAGAACTTCTGAAGTGAGCCGGAATATTTAAATGTAAAAATAAGTAATAACAAATGAACTTTTGGGTGGATTATTGTTGCATCTCACTTCAGGAATTCTGACTGTTTCAAAACGAGAAAAAAGAAAACAGTTTTTATTAATTGGAATGTTTTTCTTTGTCTGAAAAAAAAAACTCCAGTACAGTAAAATTCAGGATTTCTTCACATACTTAGGGCCGTATGCAGAACCGTTGATTTATTTATATCAAGTGATTTACGCATATCCACTGATTTTTTAACCTGTGTTAAAAATAAAAATATTCTTTAGAGCATATTTTTAATTATTTGTCAAATAAATATTACAAATAATAAAAACAATTTCAACCAAAAATATAAAAAAAATAGTTTCATTTTATTTTCATTTTTACCTACAGGGTTTATTTTTTATTTTCTTATAAACTTGTATTACTGGCAAAAACTATTAATAATATTATAATATGTATATTCAATTTGAAATAACCATGTTGCCCTTTTGTCCCTCCATTTAATTTTCTTTTATATATAATAGTACCTACCTATATTTCTGGGCCCAAAAATAAATAAAGTGTAAATTTCCTCAGAAAAAAGTTCCCTCTACCTTGTTAAGCTCTTTACCCAAAACCTACTGTTTCTATTTGAAGAGCCAGCGCATAATTTAAAAATTTAAAAGAAAAAACAAGTTGATCATGGTCTAAAATTTAAAATTCTTCAAAAGTACCTATTTAAAAAATAAGAAAAATATTTTTTAAACACAATTTTGGTTTTATTTTATAATCCTTATTATTTATGAAATAGTAATTTTTTTTAATTATCTAGGTATTATTAAAAAGTAAACATTTGTGGAAGGTATGTATGTATGTTTTTAATAATAATAAAAATGAATCAATTAATATTTTAACCCAAGTTCAATGTTAGGGGTAATTATTTTAAAATGAAACCAAAGAAAGTTATAAATCAAGCATCAACATTCAGCTTTTCAATCAGACAAAAAAACAGCAAAGATATTTGATATAATTAACATGGTAGTAATTTATCTTTAAAAAAATGTTATTTTTTAATTATATTTTTGTTTTAGGTATGTTTACCATCTGAATTTATTTTTATATATTTACAAACAAAAAAACTGTATATTTTTATAAATCGTTAACGACTGATATAAATGATATCAACTGATTTACATTTTAGATGATTTTATTGGCCAAAAAACAAATCTAGTAAACCATGACATATTAGCGAAATTATTTTCTATGGTTAAAAGCAAATGTCACAAATGTAAAATAAATCTGCAGATACATGTATGACATTTTAATTGTTTTATGTCTAATTTAAAATGTCATTGTATAGAAATCGACTTTTTTAGGGAAAATATATACGTTGAAAGATAATTTATTTTATAAAACAACAGTTTTTAAAGAAAATTACTACGTTGCCATGTCGTGCAAAAACCTATATCCACGGATATGCTAAATCAGTTGATAAGTACAAATAAATCAACGTTTCTGCATACGGCCCTTAGTTAAGTTAAAAATGTCGGTTTTATTTTGGAAAGTAGACATTTAAGTTAATGATTTAACATATTTATATTTCGCAACCAATTATTATTCCTATCTATTATACAATAAAAAGATAAGAATGACATGACTTATTATAAACAAGTAGGTATTTCAGACATGAAATATTTATTTCAAAAAGTTTAATGATTCATAGTCATTACATTTTATCTTCATAATATTTTAGTAATGTTAATTATTGTTTAGTATTAGTAACAACATGCTTTGTTATATAGAAATATACAAATGAACATTTTATAGCTATAGAATATATTCTAAAGCAATCCAATGGCGGTCCCATTATGAAAAATTAAGAGATATAACTTTGAAAAAAAAAAGAAAAAACGTTTTTTCAATTTTTTTTTAAATGTGAAAATAAAGAAAAAACGGTGAAAAAAATGTATAAAGTACAAAAAACGGATGCTTGTTTTTACGTTACATCTCTATCCATATAACATTTGAACTATTCCTTAAGATGTTGCTAAACAAAAAAATCAAGAGGATTCAAATCACAACCTTTTGACGGCCAAATTTGACGAATCAACGACTCAAAGAAGAAATCAAATGTAAGATTAATTTAAAAAAAAACAAGACTACCTTGGTTTGTATTAGTGCATAAAGTCCCTTGCCAATTTATTAAAGTCGCTCACAAATTTTCTTTAATTTTGTGAATTTGTAAAATACTTGATATATCTTCTCACAAATATGCATTTTCAAACCACAAAAGTGATTTTATGAATAGAATAGAATAATGCTTTTTAGAGTGATACAAGTATTTATAAATATTAGACAATAAAACATTGTTCACAAAATTTTAGATATGTATCTAAACTAGGGTTTTAAAATTTCCGGAAAAATTGAGCCGGAGGAAAAAAAACGGAAAAATATTCTACCGGGCCGCAAAAAACATATTCGGTGCTGTATTAACATAACTTTATATGACACTTCGATTTGTAAAATTATAATTTTGCAATTTAACTTTATAAATCATTCATTATCTTGTAATTGGGTATTTTTAATGGACTCATTTTTGCAAAAAAAGACCTAACAGTATATTTAACGTTTAATTTAATTTAATGTTTAGTTTTTTTGTAATAAAGGTTTTTTTTAATTTCATTGCAATGTTTTTTCAAATGTGTGTATTTTGCAAAAAAAATTAATTTTTCCCAAAAAAGCCTGAAAAAAAACAGGTTTTTCCCAATTTTCCGGTTTTTTTTCGACTCTTTAAAACTTTAATCTTAACATACTGTAATTAATAAAGTAAGCAAAAATGAATTTTAAAACCCAAAAAGTCGTTTTTGTGAAAAATATTAATTTAATTTTTTACTAGACTGGGCCAAAAAAATCGACTTATTTTTTTTGGAAAGTATATCGAAAATATTGTTTGGGGTGACAAAAAAAAATTATGGTGAAATTTTGAGTCCATAATATTAATATTAAGAGATCTATCATCGCAATTTTAGATTTTTTTTTCCTGAGCGAGTTTTTGTCTCAGAACTCCCAAATCATTGAGTTTAACAAAATTGACTTAAGAATATTTTTTGAAGAAAATTGAATACTCTGCAAAAAAGGTTTGATTGGAATTTCCCGTCAGATGAACCCTTTTCTTACAATCATGCCTTAAAAATTAGTATAGTTTTACAATTTGATCTTTTAACTTTGGAATTTTGTAATTCAAGTAAAAATCAGTACCCTAAAAGAAAACGATAAATATTCTTATGGGAAATCAAATGCTCTACAAAAAATGGCTTTTCATTTTTGGCTAAATTTACTCCATCAAAAGTTATTCAAGGTTAAATTTGAAGTCAAAACGAAATTTTAACCTTGAATAACTTTTGATTGAGTGAATTTAGCCAAAAATGTTAAGAGGCTTTTTTTGTAAAGCATTTGATTTTCCATAAGAATATTTATCGGTTTTTTATGGGTACTGATTTTTACATGAATTACAAAATTCCAATTTAAAAGATCAAAATGTAAAACTATACCAATTTTTAAGGCATGATTTTAAGGAAACGGTTCATCTGACGGAAAATTTCACTTTAACCTTTTTGTAGAGCATTTAATTTTCTTAAAAAATATTTTGTTAAACTTAATGGTTTGGGAGTTCTGAGCCTAAAACTTGCTGAGGAAAAAAAATTAAAATTGCGGTGATAGACCTCTTAATATTAATATTATGGACTCAAACATTCACAATAATTTTTTTGTCACCCCAAACCATATTTTCGATATACTTTATATTTTTTTGGCCCAGTCTATTTTTACCATAATTTTTTTTAAATTTTAATTGTATTGTAATAATGTGTTCTATTGTCCTTTGATGCATTTTATAAAATCACTTTTGTAGTTCAAAAATGCATTTTTTACGAATTGTGAGTGAATCCAATAAATTGGCCGGGGCTGCAAATTATATTTACAACGATTTAAAAGTACTTACACATTTTCTGGCGATTTATATACATTCTGGTACCCCATAGACAAATTGGTCCTTTGCATTTTTTGCGGTATCGATTTATACAGATGATTGCTTTCCTGTGAGGTGGACGCCACTGATTCATTTGAACTACTCGTACAAATTGCTTCTAAAATAAATTTAAAAAAAAATTAAAAATAAAAGACGTGTTTGAAAATTATATTTTTATTATTAAGCTTAATTTTCATGTATCCGTTTGTCCGTCATCCGTATGTCAGTTTTTCAATAAAATCGTCCGATAAGAAATGTTCTAATTTTCTGCATACGTTTTTTAATGACGTTTAACGGATTGATTTTGCGACAAATAGAAATTAAGTGTCATTATATTCACTTACTAAATTTACCTAATGCTTAATTGTCATAGTTACAATTATGTCAACAATTGTAACTTTAACAGTTAGCTGTCTAATAAATTTAAAGGTAGGTAAATATACCTACCTTATAAAAAGAATATACTAGCCCTAATATACATTAAAATGTATGGTTTTAAAAAAGCAGGTCCTTTTAGTTCTAGTTTTAATTTTTTTTTGTTTGTCCTTTCTTTTTTTCCGTTATTCTTATTAAATAAAAACTTAACAGTAAAACATTATTCACATAACGAACGTAATATTTCCGTTTTACAATCTTATTTAAAAAATTTAAAAATATTTGAAAATAAATTATCTTAAAATAACGTTAGGCGTCAAAAACAGATGTGTAGTGACGGATGAGTTAAAATTATTTAACCTTTCTCTGTCAGACGTACGAAGTTGAAACTTGACGGACCGATAAAATGTCATAATTTTCGAATTATAATTGGACCAATAAGAGCGCTCCCGGATGAACGGACTGACGGACAAACGGATACATGAAAATTAAGCTTTATACCCGGTAAGTTGGTAGATCCGAACCGCGGTATGCTGTAGCTGTTCAGGTTCGGTATGTTCGTTTCCGATTGGGACGAGGCGGCTGGCGCCAGATGATATCGCAGCTGCCTGTGCTCGGGGTTGCCAACGTTATCGTAACTCATCGACGCGGCGTTGTCGCTGTGATGGTCGTAAATTCCGTACGCGGAGCTCGTCTCGTACGGGTTCCTGACGTTCATCCTGTATCTGCTGTCGTAACTGTACCCGTTGACCTTCTTGACCTGCACGGGCCCGTTGCCGTGCATGGCAACGTTGCCGTGTCCGTTGACGGCCAGACGTTTTCTGGTGACGGTTTCTTGCGGCGATGCCGCCTCCTCGAAGCTGTTGACGTTATTGACGGCGATCGGTTCGCTGTTGAACAGTTTGTCGCAGTTGTCGATCAGGATTTCCACGACTATGTTGTAGAATTTCAGGTCCAAAATCGAGGCCACGGTTTCCTCTTCCGGTCGCAGCAAAGTCGGCCCGAACACGACGCTCAAGTTGCTGGAGTTCATCAGGTTCTTTTTGCTTTTTTCGGCGACACTGTGCAAGTTTGTTTATTAATGCTTTTGGAGTTTTTCGTTTGTTTTAATTACCTTTTTAAGTGTTTTATGACGATTTTTAGGAGTTCGAAATTTGCTGGTGGTAACTTGTATAACAGTCTATAAACTTCATCTACCCTTTTTTCTTTGCTTTCTTGTTCTAAAAAAAAAAATTAGAACAAAAAGCAACAATTGTATTGATTATTAAATATGTTTATTAAAATATTGCAAATGTTTTTATTTATGTAATTATTTTTTATTGAGGAATTATTCTTATGTGTTAACACTAAAGTGATATTTTCAATTAGATAAAAAATATACTATAAAAATTTTATTCTGCGAATTGCAAACTAATATTTTTAATTAAGTGAATTTAAAAAATATTTCCATTGTAACGGGTTTCATGAAAATAAAGTATTTGTTCCGATTTGTTCATATATATCAAGAAACGTTAATATAATAAAATAGTATAAAAAATTAGGTATTTAACACAAACAAACTGTCAATACAAACTTTTATAACGTCATGAATAGCGTAACGGGCGCGACAAATGCGACCAAGTTGGCTTCTAAAGTTGATACTGTAAAATTTTGGATGAAAGCATATAGTAATAATTTTTTGTGTAAAACTTGAATAGTAACCTTAAATAAGCACGTATTTTAAATGCACAAATATTGTATACTTTATTTTCTAAAATTTTCTCAAACTGTAACGGGTGGGACATTTGAACATTTTATCGAGTATTGAAACGTGTTTATTCTTAATGTTAGCTTCTTGGCATCACAATGTACGAATATTTGAAGGGTATAAATTACGTCGCAATTAAACTATTTGACTTCAGATATGGTTGTTATTTTGTTAAATAATACATCCGATTTTTTGTCAATGTGGGGTAAGGTTTCGTGGAAATACCCATTTGTATTTCTTAGTTTTTTTAATGCATAAAAAATATCATAGGAGATAGTTTTAATTCATTTTAATTTTAATTTTTTTAAATTCGCAGATATTTTTAATTTAATGTGATATTTTTAATTCGGATTGAAAGTTTGGACACCTCTGGTATTCCATATACTGTGTTTTTATTACGTTTGGAATAACAGGGGTATCCAAACTCTCAATCAGTCGAAATTAAAAGTATCATATTCAATTAAAAATATCTGCATTTAAAAAAAATAAAAATTAACTCGAATTAAAAATATCTTCTATGATTTTAATACATCGGCCATTTCAAGCGCGGAAAACGAAAAAATTACTAAACTGTTTTTATAAAAAAAAATGATAGATTATTATATAATATTTTGGTATCAAAATTGTCAAAAATATTCTTTGGGCTATACATTAAATAACAAAAACGCAAGAAATAGTTTATAAAAGTAGAGATAATTTTAATAATTGAAAGGTGTGGACGGGACAAAAAGAGATTTATTTGGTCCCGTCCACACCTGTCAATTATTAAAATTATCTCTACTTTTATAAAATATTTCTTACGTATTTTTTTATTTATAATAAAATATTTTTGACAATTTTGATGCCAAAATATTATATACAAAATTACCTACCATTTTTTTTATAAAAACAGTTTTGTAATTTGGTCCACATTTCAAAATTTCTCCTATAATATTTTTAATTTAGAAAATTAAAAATATGTTACATACAAATATAAGAAGCAAATATTTTAAATTAACTAAACATATTATTTTGGCATAAAAATTAAATGTAATTTTTAATTAAGCGAATTTAAGAAACAGATATTTTAAATTCACTTAATTAAAAATATCAGTTTGGCATAAAAATTAAATCAAATTTTAAAATATCTGCCATATTTGTAATTCGCAGAATAATAGTATATTATGTATCAAGTTTGATAAACGCAATTTTAGACACGAATTTAATTTAGGCACGAGCGAGCTTGCGGCGAGTGCTTAAATTAATGAGTGTCTAGAAAAGTTTATAAACGAGTTGCATAATATACTTTTTTTCTGCGACAAATACTTATTATTATCTTAAAATGATTTAAATCAAATATTTGTTTAGAGCGCCATCTATAAAACAATAGGGGAATCTGTGTTAGGTACCGTCAAATGTCAAATTTATATTTGCTATAAAGGTTATAAATCGAAATGTATTCCTTGAAAATCGATAAACAACAGTTTTTTACAGTGAAAGTAAAGAAAATGTTTTACGAGGACTTTACGGTGGAGTCCGAGTTCGAATTTAAGTTATATCCAGTTTACTTGCGGCGAAATTAAAAGGTCAATACAATGTTCATATAAACTTTTCAAATATAAACTATTTAATGCTTTTGTATTGCGATAATAAAATATTTTTCACATTTAGTCAACTAACTTCAGGACGTGACTAAAGCGCCATAAAGCCACAACTTGTCAATTTGTATTAAAAAAAGGTCACTTAGTGTCATGGACACATGTTGGATAATGGGCGTTTTAAAGGTGGGAGTATAAAAAAATTCTTATGTAATATTTTTTATCTAATTGAAAATATCACTCTTGGGTTAACCTCAGGATAAACAAATAAAAATAATTCCTAATAAAAAATACAACGGGCACCATGTGATTCATTAACAGATAAGCTAATCAAAAATATTACATTAAAACTGGATAAAATCAAAAAACTTTTGCATAATTTTCCAGGAAAAATATACTTACTAACAACTTGTATAAACTCGTTGTGTAAGTGATATGTCATCAATGGCTCGGAAAAACTTCTCAGATACGTTTTAAGCGCGCTCGTTATGGTTTTCGTTTCCCACTCGAGCGGATCCTCCATGGTGGCCTTCTCGTTTTTTCTCTTGTCCAAGAATATGTTTATCAGCTTGTTCACCTTGGAAGCCACCCCGCCGACCCTGTACATCCCCTGTTCCTCGAGACCGCGCGCATCGAGCACTTCGATGCACTTTTTAACGAACCGTATGCCGTTCTCGTCCAAAATTCGTTCGTCGGGGTTCGGCGTTTTTCGGTCTTTGGTCGGAGCAATGTAAGTCTAAAAAATGACATAAATAATAGCGCTGCAACGGATTTTTGCTTTGCGGAATTTCCGCACACTTTTTTACATCCGCTAGTTTCGCATTTTTATATTGAAAGTTGCGAGAAGGGTTACCTAACTTTATTAAATTTTAATAATAATTGACAGCGAATTGTTATTTTTCAGGGTATTTAAAGGGTTTTCATAGAATGTTTACAACATGTAATACATGATTCAATCAGATCTTTTTTTTTTGGAAGACAAGTCTAATTAAGTTTAAAGGATTTACATGATATACAAGGTGTCCCTAAACTTATTGGCATAAATTTAGGAAAAGATTGAGCAAGTCAAAAACCTAAATAAATATTTTTCCTAATTACTTATGTTTCCAAGATATAGTGTTACTTGGATAACGCTTATCGAAAAGGAACCAAGCGCCAAAAACTTTTTCTGGGCTTAGTAAAATTATTTATAAAATAACTCATATTTAATAATGCTCAAAAGGTTAATCATTTGGAACTTTTCTCAAAAGGATTATTTATGAAGGTTCCCAAATCATTATTAATTTTTTGATCAGCATTAAAAATAAGTTATTTTTCAAATAATTTTGTTTAAATGCTATCTTATCATATCAGTTTTTTTAATATATCTTCTACTATGGTAGACTTGGGAAGGTGATATATAATAATAATAATACATAACAGTCACTTACTACCAATACACATATTTACACATAATTACAATTATTTGAGTGTACACAGTGTCGTAGAAACGGGGGTTGCTCTAAGCTTATACAAACATACAAACTTTGAGGTTAGGTTTTTATAACATTTAATGCAATTTTTCAAATACTCAGTTTAACTACTGTTAAAAATTTTCTAAAATAACGTTTGAAATCCAAAAAAATTATCAATTCGTCAGGTTTTAAAAGAGTTATAAGCTTTTAAAAAAGGAACATTTTTTAGAAAAAAAAATGTACAGAAAATTTTTGCCAAATTAAGTTACTCGTTTTTTAGGTTTAGAAACTAAACCATTGATGATAGGTCAAAAAATCATACAGAAATTTTGTAGTACATTTATTATTATTGCATCATTAATAGTTCAAAAAATATTTTGGTTATATTAAAAATTTTGTTTAAAAAATGCAACTAGCCTTTATGTATATAGTTGATAAAACCAAATATATGTATAAATGTGATGTGTTATAAAGAAAATTGTATTTCTACCTAAAAGTCGACTTCGAAATTCGAAACTTCGCTGAAATCAACCAATAAAATAACAATTAATTTTAGTTTTCTTACCGGTTCTATTCCATCCATCATGTCCATCCACGATTTTCGATCTTGTTCCGACAAAGCTTGAAAAGTCAAAGTGACACCTGGTTTTGAGTCCAGTTGTATGTCAAAGCAAAAACGTTTTTCTATCGAGTCTGTCATTCTTCTAATGCAGGACGTTAAAACCATGGTTTCGGGTTGGGGCAGCTAAAATAAAATTGTTTTTAAAACTGTAACTTGGAAAATAACTTAAATGATAAACATTCAATTTTGTATTAAAACAAACGTTGGCACTTACTGCTTTGGCTGTCAACTGGTTGTATGGGAGCATGGTAAATTCTTTGGTTTCTCTGATATAAGTACAATAGTGTTTGGTCCATGTTGCTCCAAATGCCTCTGCAAAAAAAATAATTAAAAAAATTCATCAAAACTCGAGTATTATTTACTTTTTTCCAACAAATACAAATAGCCTTCCTTTCGCCCTCTGATATTCCTTATTGGCTCTTCCTGCTTCAAGACTTCCGTCATTCTGGACTTCAACTTGTGACTGAAATCGTCGAAATTCGTGCGAGTTTTTTGTATTTTCTGCGACAGGTGGTTGGTAAAATTTTGCGAATCTTTGGCCACTTCATAACCCTGCAAATGCATCAAAAAAATATTGCTGACGAAATAATTTTCATTTTTTTTTACCTGGTGATAAAACGTCAGCCATGCCATCATAAATTGTAACAGCGTCTCGACGAATTCAAACTTTTTTCGTTCGTGCACTTCCTGTATAAGACACACATATTCCATGCTGGCTTTGTAAAAATGCCTTTCAGCCATGTCTACTGAAGCATCCGCCTGAAATGAATTAATCGTTTTTTCAACACCCTCAGTTTTTTTTATTAGATAGATTCCATCCCAGCCAAAACATAAGTCTGATTATGTAATGGCCCATTACAAAGTTTTATGGTCTAATAATGGCATTTTTAGCCAAAGCTTTTCTTGTACTGGGCCTTTACAGGAATCTTTTAATAAAAATATTAATTTTGATTGTTGTATATTTTACCATATATGGCAATTTTTAGTATCAAGTTAATGGGACTTTAAAAAACCATAGAATTGCCAATTTTTTTTGTTTATAAAACTTACATGAACTTTTAATTATCCTTTGGTTAACGCCATATTTTAAAAATGACGCCCAGTGTAACTCCTATAGTTTTAATAGTGTGTTATACAACATAAAAAATAATAATACCTAATGGTTGTTAAATTTAAATTAGTAAGTATGTGAATTTTTAATTTGACAAATTTTAGAACTCTTCTTACAGACAAAATACCGCCAAAAAATTTAGTAGAAAGGTTTAATTGATAAGGTCAAAATTTGGGCAATTGCGAATAAAAAAAGTACAGTAGTCTTTAAAGGGCCTTTAGTTCATTAAAGGCACGTTTGTAAAGGGCCATTATAGAACCTTTACGCTTGTGTTTGCTGGGATGGTATTATACAAACCTCTTGAAGTGAGTTCATTTTTTTCGTGGTTAAACTTAAATATCTTTCTTGGTTCTGGCAGAATTTAGCCGTCTGTTTTTCGAATTTCTTCTTCTCGTTTTTTACTGCCCCTATGTGTTTTTTACGGAATTCCTCCAATGGTTTGACAACCAAGGTGGCTGCATTATCCAACTGAAATAAAAATAAATATTAATAATTTATTTTTGATATATATTTTAAATTTAATTCCATAGAATATAAGATATCGAGTTTGATAAACGCCATTTTATTCACGAATTTCAATTAGGCACTAGCGAAGCGAGTGTTTAATAAAAATGAGTGGAAAATATATATTAAAATTAATTTATTTTAGTTTTAACATTTTGTCATATAACACCTCTATAAATTAACCCTTTGATTTCAACAACAGTCAACGTTAAAATAATCAATGTTAATATTTCAATATTTCAATTGAAGGATTTTGTAGTACAGCAAATCAGGTTAATGTTGCATTTTGTCTACCTATTTTATAATAGATCTGATGTACTAATATAACCGCAAAGTAACATTAGAAGCGTAACAAATGGAATAGATGGAATAGTTGTAAACAATCGCGTTGAATCATCAAATTAAATCAATGCCTTTGGCAAACTATTGACCCGTTTGTTTAGTATTTAACGTTTGCAAGTAACTTAATACGTTGTTTTTTTCTAGCGATCATTCGGTGCAATTTACGATTATCAAGTTTTATTTTTTTTATCTCGGTCATCATTTTTTGTTTTGTTTGAGTTTGAATAATGTTAATTACCTACACATTTATTAAAAGTTTCGAGTTTCTATTGTAATCATGTGAAAAAAAATGCCTAATTGGTTTCTTTTAATACGTTTTGAATTTATAATTTCCTTCGGTTCAATTTCATCTAAATAAATAGTTTAGAAATAATTTAAAAAAACATCTACATACACAGGGTGTCTCGAAATGGGCTCCATACCACGAGAAGTTATTTTGATTATGAACAAATTATTTCGTGGCCGAGATTTTTAAAACTAAATTTTAACCAGTGGCTTTTAAATTACTTAGGTATAAGGTACGTAAGTATAAGGTTTTAAAAAAATGTTTATTGTTTTGTTTTATTATTGTTTTAAGATTAAATATTTTGTCGCTATGTGAGAATTGGCCTTAAAGGAAAGAAACGTGTTTTTATTTTTTGTGGTAGTTGTTATAACAACTATAGTTGGAATTTTTCTTGCAAAATTCGTAGTTGGTAACACTTAGGTACTAACTAACTGACAGGTGGATTTTCCTTATTGCCATAGAGGTTTCTCTATGGTTTTGTGTAAGTACTGTACTCTGTTTTAATGTTTTAAAAAATTGTATGCACTTTTGACGAATAAACTTAAATAACACCATGACTTTACATTTTTATTTTTAACACCCTGTATTTATACCGTTTGTTTAAATTAACAAATTACTAATTTAAACTATATTATAGTTGTTGGAACTAGTCTTGGAAAGTTAATTTTACGGGGGTGGTAGTAAAAACCTACGCAAAATTATGGTGAAAGTTTATTAATCCTTAAAAGAAATTTGGCAAGCTTAAACTGCACAAATTGATAGTTATTAATCAATAAAACAATTTCTAATAATTATATAAATTAAAACTATTATGTTTTAATTATACCTAGCACACATTTGTTATACAACATAACAACAATATTTACCACAAATGACCATTAACCGAGGTCCTTCATTTATTTTAATTGAAAACAGATGGTGTACATAAATCACACGATTTATATTAATTAATAGTTAATTACCAATAAAATGGCGTTATTAACGAGTAAGTAATTGGAAATTAATGCAGGATTACACCTATTTTAACATGCTATTGTAGCAATAACACTATTTGGGATAAAATGATTTTATTAAAGTCTGCAAAAATCGAATCTATGCAACCCCCACAACAAATCCTTCCGAGAGATCGATTTTTATTTTAAATTAAGCAACTTTAATTTGAGTTTAAATTTATTTTCTAACAGAACTTTTTATTATTAATTTTATGTACCACAGGCTATTTCAAGTTTTAATAGTCTAAAGTTATTTTTACAGAAATCATAACTTTTTATAGAGTACTTTTTTTCCGTAAAATTAATAAACAAATAAAATATAAAATATGTAGGCATATCTCAATTTATCGAGCTAAATCGGCAAAACCTTTTAAAGGATTGGGTTGTGGGTTGCATATATTCGATTTTTCCAGATTTCATCCCAGATCAAGTTGTTTGGTCAAAATTAGTTGCAGCGTTTTTTAGACCAACTTTTTAATTGTGTCCCGAGAATGCAATAAAAATCCATTACTTTTAATGTTTTTCTTTATTAAGCAACTAAAGTATATGTTACCTTAAATGCCTTGCAAGTTATTTAACAAATAGATAAGTATTTTTTCGTGTAAGACAGGGTGGTCTTAAGCAACGTATTATTTAACAATACATTTTAAACACTTTTTAGTGCTTTGAAAAATTATTTATAATAATTATTTAAACATATACCTACTACCATAATAATATTTTTTATTTATTTAAAAAAAAATTAAAGCACATCACAAATCGAGCTTTGACGTTTTAATGCGGAACGTTTGCATATTTTTGAGTTAAAAATTTAGAGCTTTATACGCTAAAATACCTATATTTTAATATTTACAGAAAATAATACGAAATTACCGTTAAATTGATAAATTATGAGAGTTTAAAATTAATAAAAAAGGACGGAAAAATATTTTCCAAATCCAAACACATTTCAAAAATACAAAGTTAAAACTTGTGAATCATTTTCGAGACACCATGTATATTACAAATTATATAACTAAACAATATTTAAATTTATATTTCTAAAAATATTCCTTATCTAAAATTATTTAAGAATTGTTTAGTTTAAGCACAAATATTAGTTTTAAAATTTTAAACATTTTTTTTTTAAATTTGTTTTTAATTTTATATTTTAAATGTGTTCATGTTCATTTCTAAAAAAAAGTTATTAGGCATTTAAAAACTCTGCAATGCTGTTCCCTAAACCGTTAAAAAAAACGATACGATAAATATGCAATTTTATCAAAAAAATAAAACGATCATTTTAAATAGGTATTTAAGTTTTTGTTTATAAATTCGAAAATTTTTGGCAATTATATTTTTTTGCAATCTAAAGTGAGTGTTGTGTTAAACAAACAGTTTGCTAAGCCAACTTATTTTAACTTTTCTTTAAAATAAAACATTTAATGTATGTACTTGTGACTATCAAATTAAAAAATATAAAAACTTAATTAAAATATAAATATGTAGTCGACTTAATCTCTGTGGGTAGCCACTTTAAATGGGAATCATAATAAAATGGGTAAATTAACACAAATGAGTAATGTAGTTCCGAGGAAGTCACGTAATTTAATTTTATTAAGGAACCTAATGAAAGTAAAATTTTAGATTTTATGTCTGGGTATCCAATTGAATGAGGAAAACTATATTTTATTTGTGCTACCGCACGACCTTATATTAGGCAACAAAAATACAGGCACAATTATTTAGGTTTAGTATCTTGTTTGTTCATTATCAAAGTTCGTGACATGTACTCAATATTAAGTATTAATTACACAAACAAGGATGAATATTTTAAAACGTCTCTTAATTCTGTCGTATGTACATATTTAGATGTAAGGTTGAGGAGTAACGTAAAAATAAGAAAAAAAATCGAATTTCCTGATAAAAATTATAAATAATATTTAGGGGTGCCAACTATTTTTTTATTAAAGGAAATCCTCAAGGAGTAATTACGAATTTTAAATTTTATGTTTTTATTATTACTTTTATGTTAAAAATGGATTTAAAGAAAGTTGTAGCTTAAAAATTAAACAGGGTGTCCAACGCGTTATTTTATGTAGGTATAAAAAATATTTTTGAGAGAGAACATTTCTTAATAATAAACCTCACTGCAATACGCACCTAAGCCACTGAGTAACCTACCAAGTCAATTTTTTTTACTACTAGAGCATTACTAAGTAAAGCAATAATTGCTAAGATTTTAAAATAGTTATCTTTTACTATTTTTGAAACTAATTGAAACTTAAAAAAAGAAATAATATTTTTTAAAATGGAATACACCTTTATTTTATACCCTGTATATTTTTCAAAATAAAAAACTTTTAATTTGCCTATGCAAGCTGATTTTGGTACATAATGTAATATTCTGTACCATAAGTAATACATATGTATATATACAATATATTGTATTATTTTCAAAAAATATAAAGAATTTCGCGTTAAACTGACATATACATAACCTCAATTATTTAACTGCATTCCATATTCAAATGTCAAAGTGTGAGTTTTTGACGTGAAGCATGGATTTCTCCTTGTGTATAGTAAACAATAGACTCTCTAAGATCAACATGTTTATTTTTAAGCCACCCTTAAAATGTATTTTTTAATTTCATAACAAAATGTACATAAAGGCAAAAAATTATATTTTTTAAAATTATTATTTCCTTATCATTGTTATTTAACTGTACCATTTAATAGGTACCCATTATCAAAATGACTTGGATCATTAGGCCACTCCGTATGATTGTAGGAAGTTTTATAGTTAGAGCCAACTTGTCTGTACTAATTTTAGACGGTAACTACGGCTCTAGATATAAACTAAATTCGTATTAAAATTTTATGTACGAGGAAATGGTGACTGTTAAATCAAACATTATTTTACCAGACACGTTTTCCTCCTGAAAATAGATGTGTTTTGATATTTATTCATTTGTTTATATTTTATATATTTTGCAATACAATTACTATACAAGGTGCAGATTAAGCAAGTCAAAATAAGACGGTTTTCGTTTTATTTTTACTTGCTCAATCTTTTCCTAAATTTATGCCAATAAGTTTAGGGACACCTTGTATAGTATTGAGTATACTCAAAGATTAGAATTTTTGGAATGCATATTTATTTTATCTCTGTTAATTGCGTTTTTTTGTAATTATTGAAAATCAATAAAAATACAAAAATCATAGGTATGGGATAGATAAGTCGATATCACTTTTTCGGGACACCATAATTATTTATTTAATTATAAATAATCCCATTTGTAAAAATATAAATATTTTTAAATTATTTTGTATTTTTTTAAAAACCTATAAAATTAATAATATGATGTATGGCAAATTGTAAGACTTATTTTTAAATGTTTGGCAGCAACGAATTTACTGTTTTTTAATAAGCTTTAGCAAATTTGTTTTATTGTTTACCATACATATACATTGAAGAATTTATGTGACTTTAACGATTTAAAGCCATTTCCAAGTATTTATAAACTTTGGAAGGTTAAATAAATACCACTAAATAGTCATATTTTAAACAACACAGTTTACTACTATAAAATATATTAAAAAAACTGTGCGTTTAAAAAAATTTCGCATGATTTGAAAATTTCGATAAATTAAACATTTCAAAAATATTAAAAATTTTTCGAATTTATCTCACTGTGCACATTTGTCCTACGTGTGTTTTAAATTTATGCCACTGGGCGAATTTGTCCTACCATTTTTTAAAGACGGTCGTAAAACCCAAAAAAAGATTTTTTTTACTTAAAATTAAGTGTTAAAATAATAATATTACACTTACCATTCGTCGCCTTTCTTCTTCCACCGTGTAAATAAATTCACTAAAAACTTTGAGCGATTTAAATATCACCTGCTCGTCATCAGTCTCTGTACCTCCAATACATTCGAAAGTGAACGTTTCTATGCATTTTCCAAAGGATTTTTGGGCCTCACTCAATTCTGAAACACAAAATTTCGTGTGATTATTAAATTCTGTATTTTAAAAATACTATTTTTACATTTATCACGAGAGCAAAACCTTTTATTTGCTATTTTCGTTTATTCATCTCAAAATACAAAAAAAATGCAAATATTGTTTTCTATTCCCACCTTTAAAACGCCCATGACACTAAATGGGCACTTTGTTTTAATGATTGTATGACTTCAGCCCGTGACTAAAAACCTGTTGCCAACTTCAGCCCGTGACTAAAGCGCCATAAAGCCCCTTGTCATTGTGTATGTAACGATAATGGACGTTTAAAAGGTGGAAGTAAAAAAACATTATTAATATTATAAAAAACCTTTACGAGTTAAAATATTTAAGTGCATTATTAGGAATATAACTCTAGATGAACATAAACATTTAAAGTAGTTTCAACCAAAACATATTTTTTTGCTTATAGCATTGTGAAAGTGCATAGTGCGTTAAGGCAATCAATTTCAAGGACTGCTAAAATTAGACTAATAAATTTTCAAATCAATTGTTATAGGATTGTGACGAAATTGTGCGATAAAAAATACATATCGACAAACAAAATCAATTGTCACCGTAAAATTAATTGATTTAAGTATCCATTAAATGGTATTTCGAAATGTTTCGTGAAATAGTAAATAAGTCGAATATGGAATATTTAACTTAAATATTGTGCTTGAATTTGGTTTTATATAAATAAAAAAAATCCTAAAAAGAAAACACGTTGTTCTTAAGAACTTCTCTTTTAATAGAACGGATGTTCTAATTTTTTACGACCCTATTTAAAGTACGCCCTATTAAGTGCTAATGGAAGGCATAGAATTACAGGGTTCCTAAATTTTGTATTTTTGCATATTTTCCAAAAAAATTTCTCAGATATATTTTGCAACCTAGTCAAAATCTATTTTTGTATCCAAAAAGCTTTTCCTTTATAATGGAAATAATGACAAAAACAGTTTTTAAAGAATTTACTACGTTTTAACATTTTAGCAATAATTAGTTTTAGCTTTATAGCGTATAATAATTATTAAAGTAATAATTATTGGGTAGCGATTTCTATTCTTCCATGTAAATGCAGTTTGCAAATAATTATGCAAATTTTGACGCCCAAATGTCGAACAAAAGGCGTGCAATTAATCTTTGCCCAAAAACAAAATATAATAAAAAAAAAAACTTTCACTCCGACTAGGTAATTGATATTCATAACGGAAGATGCATGCGACGTTATTAACACCGTTAAGGGAAAATTAACATTAATTATTGTTGTGTTTGTCTTTTGTTATTTTTGGGACGTGAGGGCACTAAGTTGGTTCAACTTGTATGAATTACAAAAGTTTATGTTAAGTAGGTAATTGATTACAATAAAAGTTTCATATGAGAATGTTTTTTCGCATCAATAAGGGTCTTGTGAAACGTGTATATTTTGCTAACATATGAAAAATACTTTAAAAATAATTTTAAATTTACATCGACAAGTTGTGACTTTTTTTCTTGTGAAATAATACTAAATGTGGAAATTATTTTATTATCCCAATACAAGATTATTAAATAGGTAGTTTCTTAACGCCAAGTTTATATGCATTAAAAATTAAAAGTAATTTTTTTGTTACTTTTTTTACATATTTTTGAAAATATTAAGAGAATGGCTTGTCTTACCGAAAAATTTTAAAGGAAAAAGTTGTAGAAATGTAATTCTCTGCAAGAAGGCGGTAAAACAGATTCCTAACACCAATTTGGTTACTCTATTTTTGTTTAGATATCGCTCCAAACAAATATTTAAATTAATTAGGAATACAATATTCTTTGTAGTAAAAAAATTTGCAACTCGTTTATAAACTTTTCTAGACACTCATTTTAATAAACACTCGCTCACAAGCTTCGCTCGTACCTAATTAAAATTCGTGACTAAAATAGCGTTTATTAAACTTGATAGGTACAGAATGTAATATTATTATGTTTTTTATTGAATTTGAGGTAATTTTCTTTTTTATATTTTTTGTTATTTTAGTTTATTCTATTTTTTATAATTTTATAACCGAGAATGCAGTTTTAATTTAAAATTTATAAAACAAAAACAAATAAATTTAGATAATTTTAATCTCAATGAGATAGGTACTTATAATTAATATCATAACGCCCCTATTAATTACAGTATCTTATAACATCGATTAAAATTAATTAAAAATACTGATTTATTTAGTTCTATTTAAACTTTTTATAAATCATATTTTTTATAAACAATTTTTAATTATTTTTTTATATGGGAAATTATTATATTACAAAGAGAATCGTATTATTGGAAATCAATATTACATAATTTATAAATATGAATTTAATTACATAAAATATTGCAAAAATATATAAATATTATAGAAAATATTAATACAAAAATTTGAAATTTGAAAAAAAAATTATTATTAACAAAATTAGGAACAAACCTAATATGTAAACAAATCCAAACTTTTTATTTTTTAAACTTTATTCGAAAATTAAATACAATTTCTCAAAATAAACTTCTTTAATAGTTTGGTGTAGGTAAGTGCGCAATTTTTGGTACATCCTGTAAACTTTTTTGCCTATATTCTATTTTTACCGAATTTTGGTTAATTTTGTACTATCAACAAAAGTGGTTAATATTTATTTTCAACTTCCTTCCAAATTTGAATTATACATTAATTTTAATTTAATTAGGTAGGTATCATGCCACGAATATAATATAATTTTTCTACTTCCACCTTTAAAACTTTATCGTACATGTTTCCATGACACTAAGTGACCTTTTAAATACACATTGAAGTTGTGGCTTTATGGCGCTTCAGTCACGGGCTGAAGTTAGCAACAGGTTTTTAGTCAAGGGTTGATATTAGTTTTAAAATAAAGTGCCTCTCTTGTAGTTTCTCAATGCTAATATTTGAAAAGTTTATATGAACATTGTACTGAACTTAAATTAGGGCTCGGACTCCATTGTTAAGTGCCCTATAAACATTTTAGTTAATCCATTTTCAAGGATTACATTTCGATTACCTTTATAATCTGTGTTTATAACAAATAAAAATTTGACATTTGACGGTAAGACAGATTCCCCTATGGTTTCATAGATGGCGCTCTATACAAATATTTGATTTGAATCATTTTAAGATAATAATAAGTATTTGTCGTAGAAAAAGTATAGTATGCAACTGTTTTATAAACTTTTCTAGACACTCATTAATTTAAGCACTCGCTAAATTAAATTCGTGTCTAAAATGGCGTTTATCAAACTTGATACATAATATACTATCATTGAGTAAGATGATACTATGATGATACTATAATAAAAGTTTTATAATAGTATGGAAGTACCTATCAAGTTTAATATACGTCATTTTAGCTACGAGTTTTATTGGGCACGAGCGAAGCAAGTTGCATACTATATTTAATCCACGACGAAAAGAAATGAGAATTTAAAGCCAATTTAAATTCATAAATATTTGACATTTGATGAATTTAACCTCACTTTTTCGCAATTTATAATAAAGCTAACTTCAGCTCGTTACTAAAATGGCCTAAAGCCACTGTTGTTAACTTCAGCCCGTGACTAAAACGCCATAAAGTAACAGCTTGTCAATGTAGGAGTAGATGTAAATAAATTATGTGATTAAATTTTATAATTATAGTAACTAGGTACCTACTTTGTTTATTATAATATAAGGTTTTTATTAAATTTAGTTTTACACGTTTTTGTAATATAAACCACTATTTTTGCTAAAAAGCTTTAATAGCTATAATTAAATCGTATCCCAGTTTGCATATCCTGTATTAATTAATCCAAGCTACCTAATCAAAAACAAACCTGCTATCATGTGTGTAGAAAGTAGTATTACATGATAAAAAACAGCAGATTATAGATCTATTTTGTTTTGTAGCAAAACAATTAAAATCCTACCTGTGGATAATAATATATTGGCAATTATAACTGTACAAAATGGAATATAACATTAGAAAATAAATGTCAAGGATGTAATAACTGACCTACACAAAAAAATTGTAAGAACATTTTGAAACGAATCAAAAAATACACATGTAGAATTTGTTGTATTTAGGTTTGTAAACGACCCAACGTTCATTAAAATTCTTTGACACAATTGTATTGTAAACTTTTATTGAGTCCCCTTTACAATTTGAATTAAAGCATATAAATTGTGCGCTTTGAATGATAAATTTAACATTACAGTGACGTAGACATCAATAGAAAACATGCAAGGAAAATAACGTAATAATAACCCCACAATTTTAAAAGGCTCATTAGGATATCACAAAACTACATGGTCTAGATATTGGGATAAGTTCAATAGTCTTACGTGTGGCAGCCGCGATGAGATCTTTGACTTCTTTTATAATCCTTTTGATGTGCTGATTCGTTTTCTCGAGCTCCCTTTCGTGTTTGTGGAGATTTTCTCTAAAGTACGGGCTGTCACTTATACATTCTGTAAATTCCAAAGGCGGTAACACAACTTCCATATTGTCTTTGACACTAAACTACTGAGCAACTGATAAAGTTCCTTGTTACGTTTGTTTTGAGCGGCTCAACGCGTCTCAAAGTTTTATTTTCGTGTTCAAAACACCGAAAACATGCACTCTATTTACAAAACAAAACAACAGCGTTCGCCATCGTTCGTCGAACTGGCAGCTCTGCAATTTCGTTGCGTTGTGTTCGAGGCGAGGTTGCCGCTTCGGTCGTAATTGCTTAGAAATACCGATTTATTACATGTGGTTTCGCTTAATTATAAACACATTGTTGTTGTAAGAAATGGTTTTGCAGTTGCGTTCTGCCAATGTCAGCGAAATTGTAGATAACAATATATTTTTTGCGTTGAAAGATGCGGTTTATCTTATCTAATCCACTTTTGGTAAGATAAATACAATGAAATCACAGTCCAACTAATGATAAAGCAATGAATTGTTATGAAGCGCATTTTAAAATATACGTTTTATAAAACAAAGCAATAAACTTTTAAAAAATTGTTTGTAGGTATTTGAAAATTATAATTTAAAAGTACAGATTTCCTTTTTGCATTTTATTGATTTTTTACCAACAAAGAAAGTAGGTATTCTACTAATATAAATACAATCTTCCATTATTAAAAAATAGATGGCGCCAAAAAATAAATTACAGTTATCTATAATATTATTTGTTAGTTACTAAGCAAACCCATAGGTGAAAAAACCATGGAAAAAACGTAGTAATAATAATAATATTAATTATTGTGTTAAAAAAACAATAAAATCTACCAAACGTTAGTGGTACCGCTTGGCAAATTAAAAAGTTTTTATCCTAAAAGACTTGTATTAAAATTAACCGTTTAACACCAAAACATTTAATCTATACGAAATAAAATATTTTCTCTAAATGTAGAAATTGACAAATTTTTTTTATAAATCAAATCTAATTTTACCCATTACCTGAACCCCTAACAACTTGTTTTCTTTATAATTATTAACATTTAAGCCTGATTTATTGATTGCCTTCCTTCCTTCCTCCCTTCCTTACGTAAAAGATGAACAATACAAAAACCGTTGTGATGTTTATAGATTCCCGTAAGGGAATCTATAAATGGCACTACGATTTTCCTATTGTTTATCTTTTGCGAGAGGAAGGAAGGAAGGCAATCTATAAATCAGGCTTTATACATTTATCTCTATTATCATATCAAAATACATAATTCTAAACCATGGGGAAATACCTTTAAATTATTTAAGTATTCTGGCAACGTTGCTTCTAAACTTAGACCCTACGGAACCGCAGTACTGCCAATTTCGAATTTAAAATTGTTTTTCTGGTTCGTTCCAACAGCAACAAGAAGTAACACAAATATTTAATTTATTACTACATAAATAATACAATATTACATTAAAAACCAGGCGAAAAATGGTCATATTATAGCCGAGCATACATTTAACTGAATTTAACATTTTAAAACGTGTTATAAAACGATAAAGACTATACCACAAATTTTGTGGTAAAGGCACTTTTTATGAAACAAGTAGTTTTTTCACAAATAAAATGAAATGCTAATATCAAGGTTACATCGGTAATATTATTGAACAAAGGAAACAATTTAGTTGTTTTTTACTTGGTGTTGGCAGCTCTGATATCATTTTATGTTCGCGACGTTGCCAGGTCCATTTTTACTCTAACTGCATTACGAATTGCCGAGGAGGTTTCGACCCAAGGGCATGCACAATTACAAAATTAATTAAAATTCAGGTCCGTACTAGATATTTTATTAATCAAGAGACTTAAAAAATAAAGTAAAAATTCTTTTTTTTTTCAATAAATTTATACAATAGAAGTCTTCTTATCAAATAAAATAAAACGATCATTTACCACAGATTGCTTTTATTATAATCACCTGTCAATAATGTTCAATTTTATCTTATCGCTAGTATAAATATAACTAAATAAAAAAATAGTATAGGTACAAGCACCTGGCTCAAATTGTCAGCATTTATCGATAAAACTCTCGATCGGCTCGTGCTTCAGAAAAAATAGTGCATAGTTCGTGATTTTTTCGTAAAATGTCGACGGCACCCTACGAAGAATATGAAACTAAGTACCAAGTTGTGGACAATACCTGGCACCTCATACCTCCGGATTACATGAATATGGTGGACGATGACTATAGATACCAGTAAGTACCACTTGGAACTCTTAACATAACAAAATTGTTATTTTTTATCCTAAATTAGATCCAAATCGGAATATTTTCGAAAAAGTTTCAGAGAATTTAAAATCAAGAAAAATTGTTAGCACTTCAATCAATATTATTTTTTATTTTTGGTTGTTTATGCAAGAATTTTAAGAAATCATACATTCTGAATATTAGAGCTTCACGGAAGATAGCTTCACGGATGATAGGATTTCGTATGAAATTTTTAAACATCTTTGTATATTTAAAATAAGTTATTTTATCTTCTGACACCTTAATATTTTTTAAAAATACAATTGTACATACATAAAATATTTATAAAAAAAATCTACTTACTGAAATATTACACTTCACGGTGGATAGGTTTTTAAACAGCAAATTAATGAACTTAAACTTTTGAAATATAAAACAGCAACACTCTCATCTTCATATAAATTCTAACTGACCTTCAGGAATCACATGCATCTATAATGTCGTAAACAGAGGTTTTTGCTTATTTAAAATGATTAAAGCGCCATCCGTTGCATAAAATTTAAAGCAAAAACAGATTCACGGAGGATAGAATCAATTTTAGTAAATTTTTATTTTTGATTCGATTGCTTTGGATGTGTTTAATGTACTTAGTGAACTCATATTTTTAGTATGCTTTTACAACCTCAGATATTTGAAAACATATAGGTTGACCTAGAAAGAGTAACCGTCACGGAGGATAGGTTTTAGACTTTTAAAACATTGTAAAAAATAATTAATTGCGGTTAAAAATCTTGAACTTGAGCTGTAATATCTACCTATAGGTATACCTATATTATTATATATAATTATGAAAGATCAAATCAAAATAAAAGTGTAGGTCAAATATATTTATCAATAAATCCTGAAATTTTCATTAATTTATCTTTCACGGTTGATTTGGAATCTATAAAGTACTCGAAATTTTCATTTTAAAAAAAATGTTGTTGAAATGAAAATTTCTATTAATCTACTCTTTAAATTTAAATATAATCTGGATATTTTTGTAAACCTTCAAAGTAAAGAATACTTTGGGCAAAATGAGTTTAAACCTCTGTAATTTCCACAATTTTACACCAATCATAATAAAATCTCAAAGAGTCGCTAACAAAAACACTCTCCTTCATAAACTACCATCGAAATATGCGTAACTTCAAACACAAAAAAGCTACAAACCATAATGTCCAACTCTTATACAACGTAATACGCTATTGTAGAGCGTACCCTTAACAAAATAAAACGGAACAGGGAAAAGCGATTTAAATGTTTTTTGTATTCATTGAATTTGACTTTATTATTGTATTAACGGAAGTTACTACTACCTACTGTCTACTATACAATTCCGAACACCTTTTTTATTAGGTACATAGATTTGCCGAAAAATCCAATCTTGCAAGAACGTTTAGCACTAGAGCTAAGAGCCTGGTCTATAAATATATGGTTTTTTTGTAATTATCAAGGGTTGATTTTGGCGTAAAAACGTTTGATTATCACAACCGACGTTGTAAAATCTAACAAGACGGAGTTTTGGACACCTGTGTAAAGCCAGAAAAGGTCGAAATTCCTGAATATACCTGACCAGGCCAGACTTTATGTCGCCTTTCTTGGACCACCCGTGACGGCCCGTAGTAAAGTTTGTAGTAAGATCCGGTCCATTCAGTGCAAGTTTTAAGGATCTGGCCCTCCCAAGCACTTCAAATTGTAAATAGTTTATCTAGGTGCCGCTAAAGGCTTCGTGTACCCATAGAAAACATTTTAAAAACACCGCTAATATGGGATTAAAAAATACGATGTGATTGACGGTTTTTGAATAATATGTTTTTAATCTTGTTATAATAAGTTTTTAAGTTGAAGAACTAAGCTGGAGGTCCAAAAATTTGTCAAAAATCACTTTACTATTGTGAAAATTATTAAACGTTTTAAAGATTAAGTCATGTTCACTGACTTTTTCATAGATGACATTAAATAAAACGTGTATTTATCACTATAGTTATTATAATACATACAAGTATATTATACTCTCCCAAGCAGCGTTTTAAGTTTAAATAACTACAAATTTACTACTAAGTCAACTTTAAAGTATTTTTTTACGGTTAACCAAAACGGTTTTATAACGGCATAGATACGAAAAATTACCAAATTTGGGGAATGGTTTATTTCGTTATTTTACCTATATAATAACCTTTTTGATCTACTAAGAGAATAACATAATAAAAACAATATAAATACTACCACAAATTTACGTAAAAATAACGCTATAATTACTAACTGTTTGCTCTCTCTTTCTAAAACATTGACATTCGTAATTTCTTTGTTCTTTTAATTTAGGTTTATTTTACAAAGTAATAAAGGCCACCCTAGAGTAAAATTAAAAATTATATCTTAAATTGTCAAAACTAATAATATTTTGCATTAAAACTCGAACGCACATTATTTTATTGATAAAAATAGGCACGATACATCTTAAAAATTATATGCCCTCTAAATATTTTGCGGTTTTAAGAAAAATTATTGCTTGGGTAAAAATTCAACAAAACTTAAAACCTACAAAATTTTATAAAATCTTTTAAAAATCATTTAGTTTTAATCATTTTTTAATAACTAAAACTTTCCTTATTATATTTCAGAAAAATTTGTATGAAAAAATATTTTATAAATGTTTAGAGAAGTAATGGATTCCATCTTAAAAAACAAATTAAGGTGACCTGAAAAAAAAATTCCCTTAAAGTTTTATTTTTTACTTTAAAATATTTTTCCTTTTGGGTTAATATTAATAGTATTTATTACCACTAATAACACTAAAAAAATACCAGGCGAATACGAATTATTTACGGTTATAAAGTGGTCTTAATATCGTAAAATTAAGACTTATGAGTAACGTTTACCATTAAGTAAAAATTCTTACGTTAAAATTACCGTTAAATTTTCCTTTAGGTGAAATACACTTTTCTTTCGTAAAAATTACGTCCCTCATAATACTTTAAAGTGTTGAAACTTAAGGGTTATTAAAATAGGTAAAAATAACATAAATAAAACCTATTAAATAATTTTTTTTTTAATTTTACTTCAAAGTATTTTTTTAATGTTAATTTAACAAAATTTACTTAAATTAAGTAATATTGCCTCAAAGCACTACGCTTTACTTAAAATGCTGCTTGGGCTGTATAATATACATATTATGTATATTGTACAGTTATTTATATACAGGGTGTCCCATAATTAAAGTGAAATACGGATTCTACGTACAAAAATAAAAAAAAATTCCTATAAACATAGGTCGAGAAATGCTTCCTAAGGGAGCTAGAGCCCCCGAAAGAGGAGCCCTGAAGATGGTTTTTATTTAATATCTACAAAACCGTTTAAGATAGAAACTTGAAATTTTGGAAATTGATCAAACTTTTTTTGGCCAATAAGATATAATAACAATTTCAAATTTTCCATGAGGGGTGGGTCATCATCATAGATAGGGAGTAATTACCTTAGATGGCATAAAAATTAATAATGGAATCACACCTAGAGAAAAAGATTCATCTTGGGCCCTGTTTAGGAAAAATTATTTAAGACAGGTGACATTTTATGCAATTGATCAATTCTCAAAATTTAATTTTTCTATCTTGAACGGTTTTAGAGATATTATATATATTAACTCATCATGGGCGCAATTGTTAACATATTCTTGATTTTTCCAAAAGACTTTCCGAAACGACTAGAGCTGTTAAGCTCTATAACTTGTGCGAAAATTACTTTTTTGAATAAAATTTGGATATCATATGAATAAAACGATCCCCTACAAAACGCAATTAAATACCTATTAATCGTATTTTTATCGGTGTATCTTTAGAGCTTTAAAGCAAAACACACCTAGCACCGCGGTGCTAATTCAAGAACATAATTAGTAATCCGAAATTCATTGAATTGGATAAAATTTGTCGAACACGGATGAAGTCAGAGTTTGGGGCTTAATATTTAAATATAATTATGATAATTGCCTAGGGTTTTAATACCCTGTGGCTGGTCTATCTTATTATAACAAGTGTTATTGCTGCTTTACAATGGATTTTGGAAAAACCCGGAGTAAAATCAAAAGAATTGTCTGCAGTTTGAAAATACCTGCTCAATATGATAATTATTTTGACGCAGGTATCAAAAGCTATGGTCTACTATATAAACTGTGGTAGCATAATATTATGACATAAAAAGTTTTTGATACAAAAATTATAAAAATCTATTTGGTTTAACAAAAAGTATACCCAAAAGAGCTTAGGTACTAACATCGCAATATTTAAGAAAAAGTGCTTTCAAATTACCTATATCCATATCACATGTTTAAATCAATATAGGTACCCACCTATCTTCAAAAGTAAGAATGCCATTTGAAATTTGTTATAAAACATATATTGATATAAATGGTTTCCAAATTTTTACCTTTTAACATTTTTGCTTCCCAAGATACCTACAGACTTTGGAAGTCAAATAATTGTGTAGCACCATGGGGTTAAAAAGTTGTTGTGTTTAAAGCAACTTAACTCATAAACTAAAAATTATACAAATCTAAAATTTGAGTATGTTATAAAATTCATATTGTTTTAGATTTTTACAAATTTGGCCCTTTTAAAATTTTTTTGATCCCAAGATATAGACCAAAAAATACACCTTTCTTACAGTCAAAAGATGGTACAGTATTTTTGTCATCAAGTACTTGTTTGATTTGAGTATTTGCATTTGGGAAGTACTCTTAACCCTTTGGTCTGGTCCACTTACGTGTATTATTGAACGAAAACCGCCATTGTCATGTTAAAATTTACTAACATAACAAAAACCTCGGAGCACTTACATTAAAATCCCTCACTCTCCTCGGTTTACATTGTGCTTAGTTATACGATACAAACTCTCCGGGATTGGTTTAAAGTGGCTCCGCCCCCCGGCTAAGCCCTCCTATTGGTCGAAAGAAGTGCCCTTCACTCGAGGGTAGCTCTTCAGCACTCTCCAGAACCTCTTGAGGCCTCGCGTGTTGTACAAGTGTGCTTCGCATATATCTCTAGTAGTAGTGTGTATACTGTACGTGTAGTGTTGAACGTTTTTTCGTTAAAAGTGGCTACTGACGACCCAAAGAAGTCCACCTCCGAGAATCGGAAGGATAAGGATAACAAAATGACTCCAACTTCTTCGCCCGACGTCGTTTCGATGACCCATTCATCAGCTGCGGCTGCTCTATTAGCTTGGCCGCCGCTTCTTTTGCATCCATGGGCACATGGGCTGTTGCCAGGATGGTGCAATCCCGCCCTTAGATCCTTACCCGGGTTAGTAATAGTAGAAAAGGCTAGAGAATTTTTTTTTGAAATGAGGTTACCTCAAAATTATGTTACAACTTTTTTGTGTTTAAAGAATTTACAAGTGTTTATCTTTTTTAAATGAGAATATTTTTGTTTATATATCCTTAAAATTTTATTACAATCAGAAGATTTGTGTAGAAGTTACAGAGCTATAAAGTTTAACAAAAATCAGCATCTTTATGTCACTTTATTAATATTAAATTTATTATTATTTTTTTTTATAAAAACCCTATAATTTACCTACAAATAAAATATTCTCTTTTTAATATTTCAATCAGATTTGTTTAACTCAATAAACAAAAAAGTTCAACCATGTTAAAATACCACTTTAAATAACATAAAATTGGTTTAGTTTATCAAAAATAGAAAATAGAATATTTTTGTTTGTTTTTATTGTTCATGTAAAAATCACATAATTTTTGTTTAAGTTTAAGACCCCCAAACTTAACCCATTTTTAGCACCGTGGTGCTAAGAATTTAAAGCGCTGTAACTAAAAAACTGGAAGAATAAAAATTGTGAAATTTGGGTATGTTGTAAAAAATAAATCAAACAAAATAATTACCAAAATTTGACCTTCAAACATTTTTGGTTCCCAAGATACAAGCCGAATAAACTAGGGGTACAAAAATATTAAGATTTTTTTCTCACAATATACCTTTCTTTTTCCACAATTTGACCAAGATATGCATTCCTTTAAGGCCGGATGTACTCAATTTAAGGTGTCCCTTTTATTTATTGTGAATCAAGTAAGCGTGACCTAAGAGGTGTTAGAACCTGACTATTGGCCTTTTCCATTTAATACAGGTGACAATAAATAGGTAAATCCGCACAAAACGGAAAAAGTCACGTTCAAGCAATATAAACAACATTTTTGGATCCTGCACCTGTGCGCCGCATTTATTGCCTTTTTATTGTAATTTTTGGATCAATGATCATCAAGTTTTTCTAAAATTCTTTTATGTCCATTTATTACTGATAAAAATACATTTTAAGTCGCTTTTTAAATTTGTATTTTCATCGGAGTACCTACCCTAAAATATTGCTTTGATATCAGTAATAAAATGATGTATTTTTGTTGCAGATTTCTGGACAGTATGAAAATGAACGGTAGTCCGATAAGTAGTCAAAAAACGTCTGCAGGATTTGCCATTAGCGATATACTCGAATTAGATAGGAATACCAACAATCAGGACATAGAACCAATCAGTCCTGTAACCAATATTTACCCTAGTCATGAGATTTCTTACTTTCCCAAGCATTGGCCTCAAAGTGAAAATGGTAAGTCAAAATGCTAAAGCAAATAATAAATCAATTTCACAATATTTATTTGATCGAAAAAATATAGATCATCTCGATAAAATTTATTTATATAACTGTTTATATTGATTTATATTATTGAATTTTATTTGATATGAGGCAATTACAAATAGGTATTTAGTTTTAAGAAGATACATGACCCAAAAAATCATATCTCTATTATACAATTTATAAAAATAATATAGACAGGTTTATTTGTTTACAAGATTTTTACATTCTTAATTTTTTTGATAAAAATTAAAAACATTCATGATAAAGAACATTGAAATCTCGAAAATGTAACTGTTCTTTTTAACAAAGCGAATCCTCCATTACATTAAAAAAAAACATAACTGTATGATACAGCTGGTAAAAGCAGATGTTTTTTTGGAAGGGCGTGACTTGGAGATGGGGTCCAATGAGGGATTTGTGTCACCCCTAATGTGTCTTTTAACGTTTTGTAATTGTCGCACCCCTTAACTGTGATTTTACATAACCATTGACAAAACCTTTATTGTGTTGGGGACATCAATTTAAATTTTATTAGGGATATCAGTTACATTATTTTATTGATTTTTGCTTTTATTATACTAAGGGTTTAAGGGTATACCAATGATTATGCGATTTGTATTTTCTTAGTATACCATGGAAGTTTTTATCAAAATCAAATAAATTTTGTGGAAGATGAGGAAATAACAAATTTTGTATTGGGAACCTTTAATACAATTTTAGATATAGGTTACACTAGACTGGGCCAAAAAAATTGACTATTTTTTTTTTGAAAAATATATCGAGAATGTTATTCAGAATGACAAAAAAAAATCGTGAAAATTTGAGCCCTTAAACTAATGAATCAATGAATATTTTATAAAGCTTACGTGGGATTCTTAAAGGAAATTTAATGTTCTACAAAAAAGGTCTCTTAACATTTTTGCCTAAATTTAATTCTTCAAAAGTTATTCACGAAGAAAAAATTGAAATTTTAAGTTTTTCTTCGATTTTAATGTGAATAACTTTTGAAGAATTAAATATAGGCAAAAATGTTAAGAGACCTTTTTTGTAGAACATTAAATTTCCTTTAAGAATCTGACGTGAGGTTTTTTAAATATTCATTGATTTATTAGTTACAAAATTTCAAAGTAAAAAGGGCAAATCGAAAAAACACATCGATTTATTAAGCTTAATTACTCGTAAACGGCTCGTCTGACGAAAATTTTCAATCAGACCTTTTTTGTAGAGAATTTAATTTTATATAAAAATAAGTGAAAAGGATTTTTTTTTACTTTAATGTTTTGACAGTTCTAACGTAAAACATCAAATTATGACTATAAATCAAAAATAGCGATGATAGACCTCTTAAAATTAATATTAAGGGCACAAATTTTCACGAATTTTTTTTGTCATTCTAAATGACATTCTTGATATATTTTTCAAAAAAAAAATTGTCAATTTTTTTGACCCAGTCTAGGTTACACTATTCCATTTTCATTGGTTTTTCTATTGCAGTTATACCTCAAAATCACTCAATGCATATGACCCACCCCGCTCAATTGAGTCCAGATAGCACAAGTCCACCGATATCGGAAAGATCCAGTGTAGACCCCATTAACGTACAAGACAACGTAATGCCTCAACCTCAACTAAGTTCAGACCCGTCTCCATCTGAAAACGTGTCTGACAACGAGGGCGACGACGAAATGGGAGACGACATGAAGGAAGATCAGGGGGATGGCCAAAGCGGCAGCCACAAGAAGCGAAAAAGGAGAGTTCTGTTTTCGAAAGCACAGACCTACGAGTTGGAGAGGAGGTTCAGGCAGCAAAGATACCTAAGCGCGCCCGAAAGGGAACACTTGGCGTCCATAATCCGGCTGACGCCCACGCAAGTCAAAATTTGGTTTCAAAATCACAGATACAAAACCAAAAGGGCTCAGCACGAGAAAGGGCTGCACGATCAGCAGAACAATTCGACTTTGCCGTCACCGAGACGCGTCGCTGTGCCAGTGTTGGTTAGAGATGGGAAACCGTGCCTGAGCGGCGGGCCGAAACCCCAGGACTCCTTGCAAGTTCCCACCTCTATGATGCTCCCCGGTCACCCGCATTTACTCTACCCTCAGCCGAGATGGTGGTAATTTTTTCTAAAGTAATTTTAACAATTTTAGTCAATGAATGTGATCTTATGTAATTTTGGGCCATATTGGCGTTCTTAGGGTTTTTTTCTGTTAGATTTGTATATATTTTTAGAGTTGTATGAATTGTATATGTGTATATAGGATAGAGTTTATATTAGAACGAACTGCTGCACTATTAGGTTTGTTTTACGTGTACAAATTGATAATTTATTGAATAAAAAATAATATTTAAAAATATGGTTTTATTTCACTCAACATGATCAATATTTTAAACGGTAAGTAACTACAGACTCCTGCTCCATGTAAGTAACATATGTACATACATAATTTTAATAATTTGTTTTATTCCAAAAATAAGGTAATTTAAAAGTATTTTAAATCAATTTTAAACGAAATAAAGAAAAAAATGATTTCTTATATTTAGAACACCTATCATCTTAAAAATATTTTTTTAATTCAAATCAACTTGCTTTAAAATAAGAATAGGTATATATTTCAACTAAAAATATTTAACTTTTTAAAAAAGAATTTTGTAGTTTTGGAAATATTCTAATATTAAGAATAGTATATTAAAGTACAAGTTGCAGAAGGCCACATATTCTCGCACGAATTCGAAATTTGGCCTCGAGCGACGAAGGAGCGAGTGGACGAACGAATGAGTGCGAGAATAGCCTTCTGCAACGTGTGATTTATACTATTTTCTCGATTTTAACTTTTATTTAGGTTTTTTTAATTGTTTTGTGGTCGTTGTTAGTTAGGGGATTTTTCTCGCAAAATGTCAGTTGGCAACACAAAATGACAATATTTGTTATCCTGCACAAGTACAACCTGAACTGCACTTTTACACATTAAACTTAAAATTTTGCATTAAAATGCATTGTTGGAGCAAACTTTATATTACAAAACAATAATAAAGGCTTCATTTTCAATAAAAGTAATGAATTTGAGGTTATTAATCAGTTTGACATTTTGGGGGTACCAATACTTAAAAACTAAATGTTACCAAAAATCGTTTAAGAATGAGCTTCATTCTTCAACGATTTTGCGTGCGAGAATATGACATTCTTACATAAAAATCGAGAAACATTTTTTGTTTCAATCTAAATGTTAAATATTCTTGAAGAAAATCTTAGTTGGTTTCTTGGTATACCATATACCTATAGGTACAATTGTTTATTTTTTTTATATCAACAATAAGATATTCTTATTTTTTTATTTGTTTAATTTTTTTATATTAAGAAATAGATATTCTTAAATTTTTGTATTCGTTTATCAGTAACGTTAAACAGTATTTTTTTGCCAAGAATACATATTTTTGAAATCGTGTAGGAGTGAAGATGCCGATACGTTTTTTTCTCTTTGTGAGAAAAAAATTATTAGAAGAGTGGTCAGCATCGAAGGAAATTATAAAAAAATTGAAGGTAAGTACCACTCTAAGTTGGCGGAACTAAGGAATTTTGTAGTTTAGATATTAAAGAATTGTCGTACTGTGTGCTTTTAAAACAGATTTTATATTATAAATAATACTAGTACATATTATATACCAGTATTATTTATAATATAAAATCTGTTTTAAAAGCACACAGTACGACAATTCTTTAATATCTAAACAACAAAATTCCTTAGTTCAGCCAACTTAGAGTGGACAGACAGTAAGTTGTTATTGATACCACCTTTTTTAAATTTAGCGTCGCATTTACGTGTAGGTTGGTAGGTTTATTGTTTAAATATTTACTAATAGTATTAATGATGCCTTAAAATTATTTTATTCATAAATAAATAGGCTTTGTAGTGATGACCAAAATAACTGATGTGTTTAACACTCTGATTTGTATGGCTCTATAATTTTAAGTTAATAAACTTAATTTATTTTATGACATTTAAAAAGATTTTGTTTTAGAAGTAATTTTGTTACACACTTTGGGGTTAATTTTGATTCATATTGGGTGGAGTGAATATAAAGATGTTTTTTTTATTAAAATAAATATTTTTTAGTTAATAGACGTATCATTATTTAAAATTTTATTGATTTAAAATACAAAATGATAGATTTTTTGAAACATTGCTAAAAGTAGCCTAAAATTAGGATATATCTATAGATACATTTTATTTTTAACGATACTTCTTGCATTGTTTGAAAATAAATATTAATTTGTAATCAATGAAATACAATTTTAAATCTTGTATATATTAATAAAAAAAATATTGGGATATAGAAAACATTTTGATTTAAGAAAATTATTGCCATATTTCAATATCACATGTTTTCGTTTTAAGAAAATTTATTCTTGAATTAAGTAAGTATCTTTTTTATTCAAGAATACCACTAATTTATTTTATAAGAACATATTCTTGCTTTAAAACAACCAATTATTTGGTTAAAGAAAATACATTTTCTTGAATAAAGTAAATATTGCTGCCTTATTTCAAAAATTATATATTCTTGCTTTTAAACAATCAAAGTTTTATTTAAAGAATTTTAATTTTCTTACATTAAGAAAAGATTCTTGAAGTAAATCAACGTGAATTAAGAAAATACTATTTTAAAGAATTTATTCTCTTCGTTATATATGAGACAAAGATTGTTTTGAATCAAATAAATTTATTTGATAAAAGAATATTTTTTTTCAGTGTATGTTTTTGATATGGAACGACCTATTTAAGACACGGAGTTTATTACATGTGTATTTACATGTAATGTTACATGTTTTGCATAACAAAAAAATACCAAATTACCAGAATATTACAAAAAAAAACGTCAAATATAAAATGACGGTGCGTGCCAGCCTTAAGCAATTAGCAACTGGCACACACATAAATTAAAAAGTGAATGGTTTTATTTTCATAATTTCCTAAAAAAAACCTTTTAAAACAGCGAAATTGTTACAGTTCTTGGTAAACAACAAGCAAATGATTGATAATTTTTTATAACACATCAGAATTACGCCTTAAAAAAAAATTTAACGGCAGTAACTTTAGAATTCAAAGTTGGTAATGCTGACGTCATTATAACGCATTGATGACGTGCACCCATACAGATTTGGCTAAAATATAAATCGTTAAGCCCAGAATTTCAATTGAGTTTACCGTTTTCGAGATATTTACAAAAAATATAAATTTTTATGACGTCACAAACCTCGCCATGTGACCAACATTCTACGATTTCTATTGGTTGAAAATTACCCTGTTGTCAAGTTGTCTTGTTAATGATTTCATTCGGTTATGTCAGAAAATACCCGAAGAGGTTATGTCAGTGTTGCCAACCGTACCATAATTATGGTATTTGTACCATAATTTTAAAGGTCTGTACCTTCTATTTTTTAGCGTACCATAATACCATAATTTCTTTTTACAATATTGTTTTAACATAATTTAAGTAATATAATTTTTAAGCAGGCTTCTGCACCGAAAATAAATTAGGCAACGTTGCGATCAGTCCTGCCAGTATAGTATTAAATTTTCATAAACAGCTGTTTATGAAAATTAAATGTTCTAGGTTAGCAGCAGTTATAACTGTTACGTTCTTTTCTATTCAATCTTTTGTTTTTCACCTCTATGGTTTTTAAAAAAATATTTTTTCGAGCGGTATAAAAAATTTAAAAAAAAATTATATAAATTTCGAGCCCTCAGAGAATATGTGCAAATACATTACTAAAGAGAATTTATACAATAATTAAGACTGTGATGAATGCAATATTATTTTTGATTATAAGTGTTAATTTATTTAGTTTAAAATAATTTATTATTTTTTTACCAAAGTTTATTTTTTTTTATACCTAATTTATTTTATTTTATAAAAAAGTTTGTGTTAAAATAAATATGACTTTTCTTAAAGTGCCTATGGGCAACTATAGTTGCTTGAATTTTTGTCCCAAAATGTACCATAATTTGTGCCATAATATTTGTTTGGTGCGTACCATAATGTACCATATTTTTTCTAAATGTGTACCATAATTTTTATTTTGAGGTTGGCAACACTGGGTTATGTACAAATACTGTCACTGTCAGTTGAGTGAAAGATGGTCACCAAATTCATTAAGTACCTATCTTCCTTATTGCGAGGTAACTGTTTGATATTTTAGAGTCCAAGATATATATAAAAGAATATAAAGAACTAGGCATTATACTAATGAAATGCATTTACGACAAAATATGATTATAATTATAGGTACTTACTTTATTTGTTTAAAAGCTCCAATGTTCAATGTAACCAACCATTCCACAAGATTCCTCTGCTTTGGAGTCCGTTATTAATAAATCACTTATCTAATATCAATTACAAATAACATAACAATAACATTGATTTTCAATAATCTAAATTTAAAAAAAAACAACCCGAAAAAAAGAAACGTCAAAAAATCAATTCTTCTTCTTCTTCTCCTCAACTAAAATTATAGATCAAGTGGTTTTAAAACTAAAATATTAAAACGTGGCGCCATCTATCGTAAGAATCTTAAACTAAACACACTGGCAAGCATGGAAAAAGCTGGCAACGTTGTCAATAGCCTAGTGACGTAATTAGGAGATTTTTTTTTGTAAATATCTCGAAAACGGTAAATTCAATTGAAATTCCGATTTCACAGAAATGTTTAAAATTACAAAACGCCTTGAATAAAACCATAAAAAGTATAGGTCAGAAAAAATTTAACTACCCCATTCATTGATCAAATCAAATACAGGAAATAGATAAGCTGGTATTGCTTTAATAAACCTCAATTACGAAGCTTTTAAACTGTGCGGACACGGGCAAACCGCAGCAAATTCCGCATGCAAAGCAATTAATCCATCGCATCGCAATATTCAATCGATTCCACAACTTGTTGCTAGCAGAGATAATAAAATCTTACATAACGTTAAAATTTTAAAAATCGTACGAACTAATCTATGGACATTTTTTGAGTGGGCTTTGACAATTAAATTGATTTGTTTGATAATAAAAATAAATGAATTAGGTATATGTTATATTTTTTGATTAGATATTTCGTCGCGATTAGATATTTTTTCGCACAAATATTTTTGTGAATTTTTGATCACGTGTCAAGGGTACACCGATAAAAATACGACTTTGGGGTTGACATTTTCAAAAAGATTGTTTTTACAGATACAATTTTATATACATCAACAAGTATTATTTAAGTTACAAAGTATTTATTTGGTTGTTGTAAAATATATTGAAAAAAAAGATTTCACATGCAGCATCTGTAGTTACTATAAAAACATT